AGGGCTGGAAATGGGAGGATTTAGGGTGAAAATGGGGGAATCCAGTGCAAAAATGAGGGGGTTTAAGTAGGAAATGGGGGTTTTAAGGTGGAAATGGGAGGTTTACGGTGGAAATTGGGCTGAAAATGGGATTTAGGATGAAAATGGGGGGTTTCGGGGAAATGGGGTTTTTAAGGTGGGAATGGGAGGTTCAGGGTAGAAATGGGGCTGAAAATGGGATTTAGGGCTTGAAATGGGGGTTTTAGGGTGAAAATTGGGGAATCCAGTGCAAAAATGGTGGGTCTGAGGGTGGAAATTGGGCTGAAAATGGGTGGGTTTAGGGCAAAATGGTTGTTTTAAGGTGAAAATGGGGGTATTTACAGTGAAAATGCGGCGGTTTAGGGCTGGAAATGAGATGTTTAGGGCTGAAAATAGGGGATTTTAGGGCAAAAATGGGGGTTAAGGTGGAAATGGGGCGGGTGGGTAAAAATGTGAGGTTTTGGGGTGAAAATGGGGGTTTTAGGGCTGAAAACGGGGCTTTAAGGTAAAAATGTAGGAGTTAGAGTGGCAGTGGGATTTGGGATGAAAATGGGAGCGTTTAGGGCTGGAAATGAGGGGTTTAGGGTGAAAATGGGGGGTTCCAGGGCAAAAAATGGGGGGGTTTAAGGTGAAAATGGGGGAGTTTAGGGCAAAAATGGTCCTTTTTAGGGTGGAAATGGGGGGGTTCAGCTGAAAATGAGAGTTTTAGGGTGGAAACGACGGAGTTTGAGGGTTGAAAACAAGAACTTTGGGGTAAAAAAGGGGGGATTTAGGCTCAACCCCCCCCCTTTCCATTGGGGTCAATGAGCGCGCTCCTATTGGGCGGCATTCCCCTCTCCCATTGGCTGGCGAGGAAGGGGGCGTGGCCATGAGACCGGAAGCGGCGCGGGCTGAACCCGGAAGCAGCGTGTTGAGGGGGGGCCGCAACCGGGTCCTTCCCCCCCCTAAACCGGGTGCCCTTTGACCCAATGCCCCCCCCCATGGCCTTACGGCGGCTGCACCGGAGCTGCGGCCTGCGGGGCCTCTCGGCCGAGGAAGCGGAGCGGGCCCGGGCGGCGCGGGCCCCCCCCCGGCAGAAGGTGGGTGAATGGGGGGGGGGTTGGATATTGGGGACCCCCCCCCCCCCCGTTACCGGAGGCCTTTGACCGGGTGCTTGTGCCCCACAGCTCAGCGAGGGGGCGAAGGAGAGGCCGGTGCCGGTGTCGCGGGTGGGGAGGATGGCGAGCTTTGGAGGTACGGGGGGGTACAATGGGGTTAAATTGGGTTTAAATGGGGTTTGGGGGGTTTAAATGGGGTTTGGGGGTTTTTAAATGGGGTTTGGGGGGGTTCAATGGGGTTTAGGGGGTTTAAATGGGGTTTGGGGGTTTTTAAATGGGGTTTGGGGGGTTTAAATGGGGTTTGGGGGAGTTCAAAGGGGTTTAGGGGGTTTAAATGGGGTTTGGGGGGGTTCAATGGGGTTAAATTGGGTTTAAATGGGGTTTGGGGGGGTCAGTGGGGTTTGGGAGGGTTTAAATGGGGTTTGGGGGAGTTCAATGGGGTTTAGGGGGTTTAAATGGGGTTCAATGGGGTTTAGGGGGTTTAAATGGGGTTTGGGAGGGTTCAGTTGCGTTTAGGGGGTTTAAATGGGGCTTGGGGGGTTAAATGGGGTTCAGTTGGGTTTAGGGGGGTTTAAATGGGGTTTGGGGCGTTCAGTGTGGTTTGGGTAGTTCCGTGGGGTTTGGGGGATTTACATGGGGTTCAATGGGATTTAGAGGGGTTTAAATGGGGTTTGGGGAGCTTTCAGTGGGGGTCAATGGGGTTTGGGGGCTCTCTCCCACGTCGTTTCCCCCCCTTCCAGGCCTCGCTCTGGGGCTTGGGATGGGGGCCCTGGTGCAGGCAGCTCGAGCAAAGCTGGGGGGTGAGTGCTGGAGGGGTCCCCAATACCCCCCCATGACCCCCAATTATCCCCCATGACCCCAAATACCCCCTATGACCCCCAACTACCCTGCCATAACCCCCAATACGCCCCTATGACCCCCAATTATCCACCATGACCCCAATTATCCCATGATCCCCAATTACCCCCATGACCTCAATTACCCTCCCTTGACCTCCAATACCCCCCTATGACCCAGATTACCCCCCATGACCCCAGTTACCCCATGACCCCGTTACCCCTCATGAGCCCAAATTACCCATGACCCAAAATTACCCCGTGACCTCCAATACCCCCCTATGCCCCCAATTATCCCCCATAACCCCAAATATCCCCTCATGTTTCACAATTACCCCCCTTGACCCCCAATACTCCCCTCGACACCCCCATGACCTCATTGTGCCCCTCCATGACCCCCCCACGACCTCACTTTGACATCCCATGACCTCACTGTGCCACCCCCATGACCTCGTTATGACCTCCCATGACCTCATTTTGACCCCTCCTTGACCTCAGTGCCCCCACCATGCCCCCCATGACCTCACTGTGACTCCATGACCTCACTTTGACCCCTCCATGACCCCTCATGACCTCACTGTGCCCCCATGACCTCCCTTTGACCCCATGACCTCCCTTTGACCCCCCCGACCTCACTGTGTCCCCCCAACCCTCTTACGACCTCACTGTGCCCCCCATGACCTCACTTTGACCCTTCCATGACCCCCCATCACCTCACTGTGCCCCCCATGACCTTCCTTTGACCCCATGACCTCACTTTCACCCCCCCATGACCTTACTTTGACCCCCCAACCTCACTGTGCCCTCCATGACCTCACTTTCACCCCTCATGACCTCCCTTTGACCCCCCAACCTCACTGTGACCCCTCCATGACCCCCATGACCTCCCTTTGACCCAATGACCCCCCATGACCTCCCCCTCCATGACCTCCCTTTCACCCCTCATGACCTCACTTTCACCCCCCAACCTCACTGTGACCCCTCCACCCCATGACCTCCCTTGACCCCTCCATGACCCCCCATGACCTCCCTGACCCCATGACCTCACTGACCCCTCATGACCTCCCTTTGACCCCCCAACCTCACTGTGACCCCTCCATGACCCCCATGACCTCCCTTTGACCCAATGACCTCGCTTTGACCCCTCCATGACCTCCCTTTGACCCCATGACCTCACTTTCACCCCTCATGACCACACTTTGACCCCCCAACCTCACTGTGACCCCTCCATGACCCCCATGACCTCCCTTTGACCCCTCCATGACCCCCCATGACCTCCCTTTGACCCCATGACCTCACTTTCACCCCTCATGACCTCACTTTGACCCCCCAACCTCACTGTGACCCCTCCATGACCCCCATGACCTCCCTTTGACCCCCCATGACCTCCCTTTGACCCCCCATGACCTCACTTTGACCCCTCCATGACCCCCCCATGACCTCCCTTTGACCCCATGACCTCACTTTGACCCCCCCCAGGGGCTCCGCTGGGTCCCAGCTCCCTCCTGGCCGGAGCCAACGGGCGGCGCCTCGCGGGCGCCCTCTGCCGGACCCGGGGGGCAGCGCTGAAGCTGGGCCAGATGCTGAGCATGCAAGGTAGGGGGGGGCCCCCATGGACACCCCATAGGGACCCATAGAGCCCCCCATATCCCATAGAACCCCATAGAGCCCCTAGAAAGTGAGACCCAAAGAGCCCCACAGAAACCCATAGAGCCCCCCCATATCCCATAGAACCCCATAGAGCCTCTAGAAAGCGATAGAGACCCAAAGAGCCCCACAGAAACCCATAGAGCCCCCACATATCCCATAGAACCCCATAGAGCCCCTAGAAAGCGATAGAGACCCATAGAGCCCCTAGAAAGCGAGACCCAAAGAGCCCCACAGAAACCCATAGAGCCCCCCCATATCTCAGAGACCCCCATATTCCATAGAGCCCTTAGAAAGCGAGACCCAAAGAGCCCCACAGAAACCCATAGAGGCCCCCCATATTCCATAGAACCCCATAGAGCTCCTAGAAAGCGAGACCCAAAGAGCCCCACAGAAACCCATAGAGCCCCCCCATATCTCATAGAACCCCACAGAGCCCCTAGAAAGCGATAGAGACCCAAAGAGCCCCACAGAAACCCATAGAGCCCCCCCATATCTCAGAGACCCCCATATCCCATAGAACCCCATAGAGCCCCTAGAAAGCGAGACCCAAAGAGCCCCACAGAAACCCATAGAGCCCCCCCATATCTCAGAGACCCCCACAGAGCCCCTAGAAAGCGATAGAGACCCAAAGAGCCCCACAGAAACCCATAGAGCCCCCCCATATCCCATAGAACCCCTAGAAAGTGAGACCCAAAGAGCCCCACAGAAACCCATATATCCCATAGAACCCCTAGAAAGTGAGACCCAAAGAGCCCCACAGAAACCCATAGAGCCCCCCATATCCCATAGAACCCCATAGAGCTCCTAGAAAGTGAGACCCAAAGAGCCCCACAGAAACCCATAGAGCCCCCCCATATCCCATAGAACCCCAAAGAGCCCCACAGAAACCCATAGAGCCCCCCATATCCCATAGAACCCCATAGAGCCCCTAGAAAGCAAGACCCAAAGAGCCCCACAGAAAGAGCCCCCCCATATCTCATAAAATCCCATAGAGCCCCTAGAAAGCGAGACCCAAAGAGCCCCACAGAAACCCATAGAGCCCCCCATATCCCATAGAACCCCATAGAGCTCCTAGAAAGCGAGACCCAAAGAGCCCCACAGAAACCCATAGAGCCCCCCATATCCCATAGAACCCCATAGAGCCCCTAGAAAGCGAGACCCAAAGAGCCCCACAGAAACCCATAGAGCCCCCCCATATCTCAGAGACCCCCATAGAGCCCCTAGAAAGCGAGACCCAAAGAGCCCCACAGAAAGAGCCCCCCCATATCTCAGAGACCCCCATAGAGCCCCTAGAAAGCGAGACCCAAAGAGACCCACAGAAACCCATAGAGCCCCCCATATCCCATAGAACCCCATAGAGCCCCTAGAAAGCGAGACCCAAAGAGCCCCACAGAAACCCATAGAGCCCCCTCATATCCCATAGAACCCCATAGAGCCCCTAGAAAGCGATAGAGACCCAAAGAGCCCCACAGAAACCCATAGAGCCCCCCATATCTCAGAGACCCCCATATCCCATAGAACCCCATAGAGCCCCTAGAAAGCGATAGAGACCTAAAGAGACCCACAGAAACCCATAGAGCCCCCCCATATCCCATAGAACCCCATAGAGCCCCTAGAAAGCGATAGAGACCCAAAGAGCCCCACAGAAACCCATAGAGCCCCCCCATATCCCATAGAACCCCATAGAGCCCCTAGAAAGTGAGACCCAAAGAGCCCCACAGAAACCCATAGAGCCCCCCCATATCTCAGAGACCCCCATATTCCATAGAGCCCCTAGAAAGCGATAGAGACCCAAAGAGCCCCACAGAAACCCATAGAGCCCCCCCATATCTCAGAAACCCCCATATCCCATAGAGCCCCCCATATCCCTTAGACCCCCCCCATATCCCATAGAACCCCCCATATTCGCTAGAGCCTCATAGAGCCCCCATATCCCATAGAGCCCCATAGAACCCCCATATCTCATACAGCTCCATAAAACCCCCACATATCCCATAGGGCCCCATAAATCCCCCCCTATCCCAAGTAGGCCTCCATGCCCCATAAACCCCCATATAGACCCCCCCATATGCAATAAATCCCCCGTATCCCATAGACCTCCCTATAGACCCTTCCCATACCCCATAGAACCCCCATATCTCACACATCCCCGATAGGCCCCCCATATTCCATAGACCTCTCAATAGACCTTTCCATACCCTATAGGCACGTTCTCGACCCCATAGAACCCCCATATCCCATAGACTTCTCCTGGAGCCCATAGAACCCCCCCAGACCCCCCTGTAATCCATAGATCCCCCTTATCCCATAGACCCCCCCATAGACCCCCCTCATACCCCATAGACCCCCCCAAGCTGGGTTTGGGGTTGATTTTGGGGCTGGGTTTGGGATCCCAGGGCCCGGATTTGGGATCCCAGTTCCCGGATTTGGGATCCAAGGGCCTGGATTTGGGATCCCAGGGCCCGGATGTGGGATTCCAGGATCCGGATTTGGGATCCCAGGGCCCGGGTTTGGGATCCAAGGGCCCGCATTTGGGATCCCAGTTCCTGGATTTGGGATCCAAGGGCCTGGATTTGGGATCCCAGGGCCTGGATTTGGGATTCCAGGATCCGGATTTGGGATCCCAGGGCCCTCATTTGGGATCCCAGGGCCCGGATTTGGGATCCCAGTTCCTGGATTTGGGATCCAAGGGCCCGCATTTGGGATCCAAAGGCCCGGATTTGGGATTCCAGGGCCCGGATTTGGGATCCCAGGGCCCGGATTTGGGATCCAAGGGCCCAGATTTGGGATCCCAGGGCCCGCATTTGGGATCCCAGGGTCTGGATTTGGGATCCCAGGGCCCGCATTTGGGATCCAAGGGCCCGGATTTGGGATCCCAGGACCCGCATTTGGGATCCCAGTATCTGGATTTGGGATCCCAGTTCCTGGATTTGGGATCCCAGGGCCCGGATTTGGGATCCCAGTTCCTGGATTTGGGATCCCAGTTCCTGGATTTGGGATCCCAGTTCCTGGATTTGGGATCCCTGGATCCAGATTTGGGATCCCATGGCCTGAATTTGGGATCCCAGGATCCGGATTTGGGATCCAAGGGCCCGCATTTGGGATCCAAGGGCCCAGATTTGGGATCCCAGGGCCCGCATTTGGGATCCAAGGGCCCAGATTTGGGATCCCAGGACCCACATTTGGGATCATCCCCTTCAGATCCCGGTTTCCTGCCTCCGGAGCTGCAGCAGGCCCTGGAGCGCCTGCGGCAAGGTGCTGACTTCATGCCCCGCTGGCAAAGCACTGTGAGCTCCAATCCCCATTCCCATATCCCCCCCCCCCCATTCCCTATGGAAAACCGGGATTCATGGGATCCCTCACCCCACAGCAAGTCCTGGACCAGGAACTGGGCCCCGGCTGGAGGGAAAAGCTCTTGGAATTCCAGGATCTTCCCTTTGCGGCCGCTTCCATCGGCCAAGTGCATCTGGGGACGCTGCTGGATGGTACCCGCGTGGCCATCAAGGTCCAGGTGGGGTTTGGGGTGGAAAAAGGGGGATTTGGGGTGGAAAGAGGAGTTTTGGGGTGAAAAAGGGGAGTTTGGGTTAAAAAAGGGTCATTTTGTGGTGAAAAGGGGGGTTTTGGGGTGAAAAGGGGGGTTTTGGGGTGAAAAAGGGCATTTTGAGGTGAAAAAGGGCAGTTTGGGTTAAAAAAGGGTCATTTTGTGGTGAAAAGGGGGGTTTTGGGGTGAAAAGGGGGGTTTGGGGGTGAAAAAGGGGGGTTTGGGGTGAAAAGGGGTAGGGTGAAAAAGGGGTTTGGGGTGAGAAAGGGTCATTTTGTGGTGAAAAGGGGATTTTGGGGTCAAAAGGGGGATTTTAGGGTGAAAAGGGGTATTGGGGGTGAAAAAGGGGGTTTTGGGGTAAGAAATGGGTTTGGGAGCCAAAGGGGGGTTTTGTGATGAAAATGGGGGTTTTGTGGTGAAAAAAGCGGGTTTGGGTTTAAAAAGGAGGATTTTGGGGTGAAAAAGGGTGGTTTTGGGGTGAAAAAGGGGGGTTTGGGGGTGAAAGAGGAGCTTTGGGGTGAAAAAGGGGGGTTTTGGGGCTGTTCGAGCTTGCTTTCCCATCCCGGTTTTCCCACAGTATCCCGGGATCGCCCAGAGCATCCACAGCGATGTGGAAAACCTCCTGGCTCTGCTGCGGATGAGCTCGGCCCTGCCTGAGGGTGAGTTGGGAATCCCTATGGATAACACCGGGAAAAGGTCCCAGATCCCTTTTTCCTGTCCGAGATCCCTTTTTCCTGTCCCAAATCCCTTTTTCCCATCCCAAATCCTATTTTCCCTTCCCAAATCCCTTTTCCCCCTCCCAAATCCCTTTTTTCCCCTTTTCAAATCCCTTTCTTCCTTCTCAAATGTTTTCCCTTCCCAAATCCCTTTTTCTTATCCAAATCCTTTTCCCTTTCTCAAATCCTCTTTTCCCCTTCCAAAATCGTTTTCTCTTTCCCAAATCCCCTTTTTCCTTTCCCAAATCCCCTTTTTCCCTTCCCAAATCCCCTTTTTCCCTTCCCAAATCCCCTTTTTCCCTTCCCAAATCCCTTTTTTCCCTTCCCACATCCCCTTTTCCCTTCCCAAATCCCTTTTTTCCCTTCCCACATCCCCTTTTCCCTTCCCAAATCCCCTTTTTTCCCTTCCCAAATCCCCTTTTTTCCCTTCCCAAATCCCCTTTTTCCCTTCCCAAATCCCCTTTTTCCCTTCCCAAATCCCCTTTTTCCTTCCCAAATCCCCTTTTTCCCTTCCCAAATCCCTTTTTCCCTTCCCACATCCCTTTTTTCCCTTCCCAAATCCCATTTTTCCCTTCCCAAATCCCATTTTTCCTTCCCAAATCCCCTTTTCCCTTCCCAAATCCCCCTTTTCCCTTCCCAAATCCCCTTTTTCCCTTCCCAAATCTCCTTTTCCCTTCCCAAATCCCCTTTTTCCCTTCCCAAATCCCAGTTTCCCTTCCCAAATCCCCTTTTCCCTTCCCAAATCCCATTTTTCCCTTCCCAAATCCCTTTTTTCCCTTCCCACATCCCCTTTTCCCTTCCCAAATCCCCCTTTTCCCTTCCCAAATCCCTGGTTTTCCTTTTCCAAATCCCATTTTTCCCTTCCCAAATCCCCTTTTCCCTTCCCAAATCCCCCTTTTCCCTTCCCAAATCCCCCTTTTCCCTTCCCAAATCCCCCTTTTCCCTTCCCAAATCCCATTTTTCCCTTCCCAAATCCCCTTTTCCCTTCCCAAATCCCCCTTTTCCCTTCCCAAATCCCCTTTTTCCCTTCCCAAATCCCATTTTTCCCTTCCCAAATCCCATTTTTCCCTTCCCAAATCCCATTTTTCCCTTCCCAAATCCCCATTTTTCCCTTCCCACATCCCCTTTTTCCCTTCCCACATCCCCTTTTTCCCTTCCCACATCCCCTTTTTCCCTTCCCAAATCCCCCTTTTCCCTTCCCAAATCCCCCTTTTCCCTTCCCAAATCCCATTTTTCCCTTCCCAAATCCCATTTTTCCCTTCCCAAATCCCATTTTTCCCTTCCCAAATCCCATTTTTCCCTTCCCACATCCCTTTTTTCCCTTCCCAAATCCCCCTTTTCCCTTCCCAAATCCCCCTTTTCCCTTCCCAAATCCCATTTTTCCCTTCCCAAATCCCCTTTTTCCTTCCCAAATCCCCTTTTTCCTTCCCAAATCCCCTTTTTCCCTTCCCAAATCCCCTTTTTCCCTTCCCAAATCCCATTTTTCCCTTCCCAAATCCCTTTTTTCCCTTCCCAAATCCCCTTTTTCCCTTCCCAAATCCCCTTTTTCCCTTCCCAAATCCCCTTTTTCCCTTCCCAAATCCCATTTTCCCTTCCCAAATCCCTTTTTCCCTTCCCAAATCCCATTTTTCATTCCCAAATCCCCTTTTTCCCTTCCCAAATCCCATTTTTCCCTTCCCAAATCCCATTTTTCCCTTCCCAAATCCCTTTTTTTCCCTTCCCACATCCCCTTTTTCCCTTCCCACATCCCCTTTTCCCTTCCCAAATCCCTGGTTTTCCCTTCCCAAATCCCATTTTTCCCTTCCCAAATCCCATTTTTCCCTTCCCAAATCCCATTTTTCTTCCCAAATCCCCTTTTTCCCTTCCCAAATCCCCTTTTTCCCTTCTCCAGGCCTTTTTGCTGAGAACTCCCTGGAAGAGCTGCGGAAGGAGCTGGAATGGGAATGCGATTACCACCAGGAAGCCCAATCCGCCTGCACCTTCCGGTTGGGATGCGCACAACGGGGGTTTCGGGCTGCACAGGGTTGGGGTTATCCCTATGGATTCCTTCACTCTTCCCGTGCTTTTCCCAAGGGATCTCCTGCGGGACGATCCCTTCTTCTCGGTGCCGCGGGTGGTGCCGGAGCTGTCGGCAGCGCGGGTCCTCACCATGGAGCTGGGCAGCGGGATCCCATTGGATCAGTGTCGGGATCTGCCCCAGGACGTGCGGGATGAGGTGGGTATGGAAAAGGGAGGATGGGGGGGGGGTTAATCCCAAAATCCCATCCAATTCCCATCCCATTCCCATAGATCTGCACCCATCTCCTGCGCCTCTGCCTGCGGGAGCTCTTCGAGTTCCGCCTCATGCAGACCGATCCCAACTGGGCCAATTTCCTCTATGACCCCCCCCAGCACAAGGTGAGCCTCTCCCCCCCCCCCCCAAATTCCCAGCCCCATTCCCACATGGATCCAGCAGCATTCCCAACCCCATTCCCATAGGTGACGCTGTTGGATTTCGGAGCCACGCGTTGCTTCGATCAGGAATTCACCGATCATTACATTGAGGTTTGAAGGGGGGAATTGGGGTACCCCCCCCCTTTTATTCCCAAGTATTCCCAAGTATTCCCAACCATTCCCAGTTTTCCCCCCCCTTTTCCAGGTGATCCGGGCTGCGGCCGATGGGGATAGGGAACAAGTGCTGCAGAAATCCCGGGATCTCAAGTTCCTGACGGGATTTGAGAGCAAAGTAAGGGGGGATCCCATTAATTCCCCCCCCACATCCCATGCCGGGGGTACCCCTATTCCTGTTCCACCCCTCCCTGTGTCCCCATTGACCCCATTTGCGCTCTATCACCCCATATCCCCCCCCCATAGGTCCCCCTGTCCCCACTGATCCCATATCCCCACTGATCCCATATCCTCACTGATCCCATTCACTCTATGGTCCCCCCATATCCCCATTGACCCCATAGACCCCATTGTCTCCATTCACCTCACATCCCCATTCACCCCATTGACCCTGTTTCCCCATAGCCCCCATTTACTCCACTGCCCCCTTTCACCCCATAGCCCCACTTGACCCTATAGCCACCATTCACCCCATAGCCCCCATTTACCCTAGTCCCCATTCACCCCATACCCCCCATTCCCCCCATAGCCCCCACTGACCCCATACCCCCCATTCCCCCCACTGACCCCATAACCATCGCTGATGCCATAACCCCCATTGATCCCATGTCCCCCATTCCCCCCATAGCCCCCACTGACCCCATGCCCCCATTCACCCCATACCCCCCCATTCACCCCATAGCCCCCATTTACCCCATTACCCTCATTCACCCCATAGCCCCATTGACCCCACAGCTCCCATTCACCCCATACCCCCCATTCTCCCATTCCCCCCATAGCCCCCACTAGCCCCATTGCCTCCCTTCACCCCATACCCCCCGTTGCCCCTATTCACCCCATACCCCCCACTGACCCCATTGCCTCCATTCACCACATACCCCCCATTGCCCCCATTCACCCCATACCCCCCGTTCACCCCACTGCCCCCATTGACACCATTGCCCCCATTCACCCCATACCCCCCACTGACCCCATACCCCCCATTCACCCCATTCCCCCCATTCACCCCATACCCCCCACTGACCTCATTGCCCCCCATACCCCTCATTCACCCCATACCCCCCACTGACCCCATGCCGCCCATTCACCCCATACCCCCCATTCACCCCATACCCCCCATTCACCCCATACCCCCCTTCACCCCATACCCCCCGTTCACCCCATACCCCCCATTCACCCCATTCCCCCCATTCACCCCATACCCCCCACTGACCTCATTGCCCCCCATACCCCCCATTCACCCCATACCCCCCACTGACCCCATACCGCCCATTCACCCCATACCCCCCATTCACCCCATACCCCCCGTTCACCCCATTCCCCCCACTGACCCCATAGCCCCCATTTACCCCATACCCCCCACTGACCCCATTGCCCCCATTCACCCCATACCCCCCATTCACCCCATACCCCCCACTGACCCCATACCGCCCATTCACCCCATACCCCCCGTTCACCCCATACCCCCCACTGACCCCATAACCCCCATTGCCCCCATTCACCCCATACCCCCTATTGCCCCCGTTCACCCCATAGCCCCCACTGACTCCATCCCCCCCCCGCGCAGGCGCACGAGGCCGCTCACACCTCCGCCGTTCTCCTCCTGGCCGAGCCCTTTTCCCACCCGGGTCCCTTCGATTTCGGGGCTCAGGGCACGGCGCGGGGGGTGCGGGCCCTGCTGCGGCCGCTGCTCCGGGGCCGCCTGGCGCCGCCTCCCCCGGTCTCCTACGGCCTCCACCGGAAGTTGGCCGGGGCCTTCCTGTGCTGCGCCCGCCTCCGCGGCCGCGTGCGCTGCCGGGAGCTCTTCCTGCGCATGCGCGGTACGTACTGGAAGGGGCGGAGTCAAAGCCCGGAATAAAAGAGTGGGACGTGTGCAAAGGGGGAGGGGTGTTGGCAAAGGGGAGGGGCGTGTGCAAAGGGGAGGGGCGTGTGCAAAGGGGAGGGGCGTGTGCAAAGGGGGGTGTGTGTGCAAAAGGGGAGGGGCGTGTGCAAAGGGGGCGTGTGCAAAGGGGGTGTGTGCAAAGGGGGTGTGTGCAAAGGGGGGCGTGTGCAAAGGGAGGGGCGTGTGCAAAGGGAGGCGTGTGCAAAGGGGGGGGGGCTTGTGCAAAGGGGGAGGGGCGTGTGCAAAGGGGGAGGGGCACAGACGGAGGGGCGTGTGCAAAGGGAGCGTGTGCAAAGGGGGCGGGGCGTGTGCAGAGGGGTGTGCAAAGGGGGGGCGTGTGTAAAGGGAGGCGTGTGCAAAGGCGGAGGGGGCGTGTGCAAAGGGGGGTGTGCAAAGGGGAGGGGCGTGTGCAAAGGGGGAGGGGGCGTGTGCAAAGGGGAGGGGCGTGTGCAAAGGGGGGCGTGTGCAAAGGGGGGCGTGTGCAGAGGGAGCGTGTGCAGAGGGGGGGGAAAGGGGCGGGGCGGTGCCGGAGCGTACCATGGGGAGGGGAAAGGGGAGGGGGTCCCCGTTTAATTGATGGGGTCTTGGTTAATTGGGGGTCCCCATTGAATTGGGGGGTCCTGGTTAATGGGGGTCCCTGTTTAGTTGGGGGCATCTTGGTTAATGGGGCTCTTGGTTAATTGGGGTCCCCGTTTAATTGATGGGGTCTTGGTTAATTGGGGTCCCCATTCAATTGATGGGGTCTTGGTTAATGGGGGGGTCCCCATTCAATTGATGGGGTCTTGGTTAATTGGGGTCCCCATTCAATTGATGGGGTCTTGGTTAATGGGGGTCCCCCCATTTAATTGTGGGGGTCCTGGTTAATGGGGGACCCCGTTTAGTTGGGGGCATCTTGGTTAATGGGGGGGCTCTTGGTTAATTGGGGGTCCTCATTTAATTGATGGGGTCTTGGTTAATTTGGGGGGGGCGGTGTCCACATTCAATTGAGGGGGTCGTGATTTATTGGGGGGGGGGCGTTTATTGGTGGGGTCCGAAGGGCTCCGAATGGACCCGAAGGGCTCCGAACGGGGCCGAGCGGTTCCGAGGGGGCCCGAGCGGTTCCGAGTGGGTCCGAAGAGCTCCGAGCGGTCCCGAAGGGCTCCGAATGAGACCGAGCGGCTCCGAAGGGCTCCGAGTGTGTCCGAAGAGCTCCGAGAGGGGGCCGGGGGCTTCCGAAGGGCTCCGAACGAGCCCCGGGAGTTCGGAAAGGAACCGAGGGTTTCCGAAGGGCTCCGAATGGACCCGAAGGGCTCCGAGGGGGCCCGAGCGGTTCCGAACGGAACCGAGCAGTTCCGAAGGGCTCCGAGGGGGCCCGAGCGGTTCCGAAGGGCTCCGAATGGACCCGAATGAGACCGAGCGGTTCCAACGAGATCCAAACGGAGCCGGGGGGGGGGGTCCGAAGGGCTCCGAACGTGCCCGAGCGGTTCCGAATGGACCCGAGTGGTTCCGGAGGGCTCCGAATGGACCCGAAGGGCTCCGAATGGGACCGAGCGATGCCGAAGGGCTCCAGCAGGGGGCCAATGGGGCTATAGGGAGGGACCGGGATGCAGGAGCAGGGTTTGGGGATGCTCCATTGGGATGCTGAGGGGCTGGGGGCATCGGGGGCTGTCTCCTTATAAACCCCCCTGGAAAAGGGGATCCGGCATTCCCAAGGATTTGGGGTTCAGCCTGGATCCAGGAGCCATTCCCAAGGGAAGCGATTCCAAGCTCGGATCCCGGTGGTTTCAACTCCATTGCTGCATCCACGGGGGAGGTGGGGGGGGGGTATCAGAGCATCCAACCCCATTCCCGATCCTGCTGCATCCCAGCTGTGTTCCCGAGGGGATCCTTTCCCAACCGGATGTCGTGGAGCTGCCATTAGAAGTGTGAAGGGATGGGACCGGGATAGGGTTGGAATGGGATCAGGATGGGGATGGGATGGGAGTGGGATGGGGATGGAATGGGATCGGGATGGGGATGGGATCGGGATGGGGATGGAATGGGACCGGGATAGGGTTGGGATGGGACCAGGATGGGACCGGGATGGGGATGGGTTGGGATGGCACGGGAACGGGATGGGGTTGGAATGGGACCGGGATGCGGATGGGACCGGGATGGGGTTGGGATCGGGATGGGGTTGGGATCGGGATGGGGGTTGGAATGGGATCGGGATGGGGTTGGGATGGGAACGGGATGGGGTTGGAATGGGACCGGGATGGGGATGGGGATGGGATGGGACGGGGATGGGGATGGGATGGGACCAGGATGGGGTTGGAATGGGATGGGGATCTGGATTGGGATGGGACCAGGATGGGACCGGGATAAGGATGGAATGGGACCGGGATAACGACGGGATACGAACGCGATTGGACCACGCTCCTCCCTCCCGCATCACGTGGCACGGCGGTTCCCCCCCCCCCCCGTCACGTGGCGCTGCGGCGTCGTCTCCCCCGTCACGTGCCGCCCCGCGGCCCTCCAATGGCGGCGCGGCTGGCGGCGTCACGTGACGGGGGAGAGGGGCGGAGCATAGAGGCGCCAAGATGGCGCAGGCCGGGAAGGAGCAGGAAGCGCTGCAGCTCCTGGCCGAGGCCGACCGGAAGCTCCGCGGGTCCCGCTCGTTCCTGGCGGGGCTCTTCGGGTGCGAACTGGGGGCTATGGGGCTGTAATGGGGGTCTGGGGGGGTGTAATGGGGGCCTATGGGGCTGTAATGGGGGTCTATGGGGGTGTAATGGGGGTGTAATGGGGTCTATGGGGCTGTAATGGGGGTCTATGGGGGTGTAATGGAGGTCTATGGGGGTGTAATGGGGGTCTGTGGGGCTGTAATGGGGGTCTATGGAGCTGTAATGGGGGTGTAATGGGGGTTTATGGGGGTGTAAAGGGGGTCTATGGGGCTGTAATGGGGGTCTATGGGGGTCTATGGGGGTGTAATGGGGGGCTATGGGGGTGTAATGGGGGTCTATGGGGGTGTAATGGGGGTCTGTGGGGGTGTAATGAGGGTCTGTGGGGGTGTAATGGGGGTCTATGGGGGTCTGTGGGGCTGTAATGGGTGGCTGTGGGGGTGTAATGGGGGTCTATGGGGGTGTAATGGAGGTCTATGGAGCTGTAATGGGGGTCTGTGGGGGTGTAATGGGCGTCTGTGAGGGTGTAATGGAGGTCTATGGGGGTGTAATGGGGGCCTATGGAGCTGTAATGGGGGTCTGTGGGGGTGTAATGGGGGTCTATGGGGGGGTAATGGGGGTCTGTGGGGCTGTAATGGGGGTCTATGGGAGCCTATGGGGGTCTATGGGGCTGTAATGGGGGTCTGTGGGGGTGTAATGGGGGTCTATGGGGGTGTAATGGGGGGGTAATGGGGGTCTATGGGGCTGTAATGGGAGTCTGGGGGGCTGTAATGGGGGTCTGTGGGGCTGTAATGGGGGTCTGTGGGGGTCTGTGGGGCTGTAATGGGGGTCTATGGGGATCTGTGGGGGTGTAATGGGGGTCTATGGGGGTGTAATAGGGGGGTAATGGGGGTCTGTGGGGGTGTAATGGGGTCAATGGGCCTCTAATGGGAGTCAGTGGGGGTGCAGGGGCCTGTAATGGGGGTCTCTAGGGGTGCCGGGGGCTGTAATGGGGGTCAGTGGGGTTCTATAGGGGTGCAGGGGCCTGTAATGGGGGTCAGTGGGGGTCTCTAGGGGTGCCGGGGGCTGTAATGGGAGTCAGTGGGGTTCTATAGGGGTGCAGGGGCCTGTAATGGGGGTCAGTGGGGGTGCAGGGGGCCTGTAATGGGGGTCTGTGGGAGTCTAATGGGGGCCTATTGGGGTGCAGGGGCCTGTGATGGGGGTCACTGGGGGTCTAATGGGTTCCAGTGGCCCCTAATGGGGTCCTATAGGGGTCTGGGGGGCTCTAATGGGGGTCAATGGGGCTGTAATGGGGGTCATTGGGACTCTAATGGGGGTCTAATGGGCTATAGTCGGGGGTCTATAGGGGTGCAGGGGGCTGTAATGGGGGTCAGTGGGGTCCTAATGGGGGCCTATAGGGGTGCAGAGGGCTGTAATGGGGGTCAGTGGGGCTGTAATGGGGGTCAGTGGGGTACTAATGGGCTCTAATGGGGGCCTATAGGGGTGAAGGGACCTGTAATGGGGGTCAGTGGGGCTGTAACGAGGGTCAGTGGGGTCCTAATGGGGGCCTATAGGGGTGCAGTGGGGCTCTATAGGGGTTCAAGGGGCTCTGTAGGGGTGCAGTGGGGCCCTATAGGGGTTCAGTGGGTCTCTGTAGGGGTTCTTGGGGCCCTATAGGAATTCAGTGGGTCTCTATAAGAATTCAGTGGGTTTCTATAGGGGTTTTTGGGCCCTATAGGGTTTCAATGGGGCCCTATAGGTGTTCAATAGGACCCTATAGGAGTTCAATAGTGCCCTAAAGACGTTCAGTGGGGCTCTATAGGGGCTCAGTGCGTCTCTATATGAGTTCTTGAGGCCCTATAGGGCTTCAGTGGGGCCCTATAGGGGTTCAGTGGGGCCCTATAGGAGTTCAGTGGGGCCCTATAGGAGTCCAATGGGGCCCTATAGGAGTTCAATGGGCCCTATAGGGGGTCAATGGGGCCCTATAGGAGTTCAGTGGGCCCTATAGGGGCTCAATGGGGCTCCATAGGGGCAGCAGCGCCCTCCATGAGCCCACATTTAAGTCCATCTCCAAACCCCTTTCCCCACGGGATCCCCCCCCATCCCCCCCATCCCCATTCCCACCCCATCCCTCCCCATCCGCTGCCCACCCCATCCCCCCATCCCCATCCCCCCCCCATCCCCCCCCACCCCACCACCACCCCCCATCCCCATCCCATCCCCATCCCATGCCCCCCATCCCCCCCATCCCCCCCACCCCATCCCCCCCACCCCATCCCCCCCATCCCCCCCCCCCAACCCATCCCACCCCGTTCCCCCCTCATCCCCACCCCATCCCCCCCACCCCATCCCATTCCCCCACCCCCCCCATCCCCCACCCCCCCACCTCCCACCCCCATCCCCCCATCCCCCCATCCCACCCCATCTCCCCCATCCCCCCCATCCCCACCCCCCCGATCCCCACCCCTCCCTCCCCATCCCCCCCACATCCCCATCCCCCCCACTCCACCCCCCCCATCCCCCCCCCCATTCCACCCATCCCACCCCATCTCCCCCATCCCCCCATCATTCCCCCCTTATCCCCCCCCCATCCCCCCCATCCCCATTCCCCCCCACCCCAGGGGCAATTCCCGGATCGAGGAAGCCTGCGACACCTATTCCCGCGCCGCCAACATGTTCAAGATGGCCAAGAACTGGAGCGGTGCGTCGGCATTCCCATCCCCCCCCCCATTCCCAATGGGAATTCCCATCGGGAATAACCCCCCCCTTATTCCCCACGGAATTCCAGCCGCCGGGAATGCCTTCTGCCAAGCGGCCCAGCTCCACCTGCAGCTGCAGAGCAAGCACGACGCCGCCACCAGCTTCGTGGATGCTGGGAATGCCTTCAAGAAGGCGGATCCGCAGGGTAAAAAAAACGGGAATGCCGTGCTATTCCCAACCAGGGATCCAATGGGATTGAGCCCCTAAATGGGGGGGGAATGGGAGCCCTTTTCCATGGGGGAATGGAGCTCTATGGGGAGCAGGTGGTGGGAGCTGTGATGGGTTGGGGTTGGGATTCCGGCTTGGATCCAATGGGATTGGCTCCCAAGGCGGGGGGGGGGTGAGGGGGGAGCAGCTGTTGGGATGGAGGCGTTCCAATGGGATGGAGGCGTTCCGATGGGATGGAGGCGTTCCGATGGGATGGAGGCGTTCCAATGGGATGGAGGCGTTTCGATTGGATGGAGGCGTTTCGATTGGATGGAGGCGTTTCGATTGGATGGACTCATTCCAATGGGATGGAGACGTTCCAATGGGATGGAGGCGTTCCAATTGGATGGAGGCATTCCAATGAGATGGAGGTGTTCCAGTGGGATAGAGTTGTTCCCATTGGATGGAGGCATTCCCGTGGGATGGAGGCGTTTCAGTGGGATAGAGGTGTTCCGATTGGATGGACTCATTCCAATGGGATGGACTCATTCCAATGGGATGGAGGCGTTCCAATGGGCTGGAAGCATTCCAATGGGATGGAGGTGTTCCAATGGGATGGAGGTGTTCCAATGGGATGAAGTCATCCCAATGGGATAGAGTTGTTCCCTTTGGATGGAGGCATTCCAATGGGATGGAGGCATTCCAATGGGTTAGAGGTGTTCCGATTGGATGGAGGCATTCCAATGGGATGGAGGCATTCCAATGGGATGGACTCATTCCAATGGGATGAAGTCATCCCAATGGGATAGAGCTATTCCGATTGGATGAAGTCATTCCAATGGGATGGAGGCATTCCAATTGGATGGAGGCATTCCAATGGGATGGAGATGTTCCAAAGGGATAAAGTCATTCCAAGGGGATGGAGCCATTCCAATTGGATGGAGTCATCCCAATGGGATGAAGTCATTCCAAGCAGATGGAGCCATTCCGATTGGATGGAGCCCTTCCAATGGGATGCAGTCATTCCAAGGGGTTGGAGCCATTCCAATGGGATGGAGCCGTTCCGATGGGATGGAGCCATTCCCATTGGATGAACGCGCAGCCTCTTGGGATGAGCATTCCCAACGGGAGCCGGGGAGGGATGAGGAATCATGGAATGCTTTGGGATGAAGCCCCTCCGCATCCAGCCCTTTCCAATGGGATCCCATTGGATGCCGGCAGGGCTGGAGCATTCCCGGCTTCTCCATTCATCCCAGTGTCCCATAGGGAAGGACTTCCCAAGCTCCCATCCATCCTTTCCCACCTGGAAGCTCCTCCTCATCCCAACATTCCATGCTCCTTCCAAAGCCCTTTTCCTGGTCTTTTCCCTTATTCCCTTCCTTCCTTTCCCTTGTAACCCCCCAGTGGAATTCCAGAAGTCAGGAAGCTCGTCTTCATCCCAACATTCCAAAGCCCCCATTCCCTTCCCTCCTTTCTCTTGTAACCCCCAATGGAATTCCAGAAGTCAGGAAGCTCGTCCTCATCCCAACATTCCAAAGCCCCCATTCCCTTTCTTCCTTTCTCTTGTAACCCGCCAATGGAATTCCAGAAGTCAGGAAGCTCGTCCTCATCCCAACATTCCAAAGCCCCCATTCCTTTCCCTTGTACCCCCGCAATGGAATTCCAGAAGTCGGGAAGCTCGTCCTCATCCCAACATTCCAAAGCCCCCATTCCTTTCCCTTGTACCCCCGCAATGGAATTCCAGAAGTCGGGAAGCTCGTCCTCATCCCAACATTCCAAAGCCCCCATTCCCTTTCCCTTGTACCCCCCCAATGGAATTCCAGAAGTCAGGAAGCTCGTCCTCATCCCAACATTCCAAAGCCCCCATTCCCTTCCTTCCTTTCCCTTGTACCCCCCAATGGAATTCCAGAAGTTGGGAAGCTCGTGCTCATCCCAACATTCCAAAGCCCCCATTCCCTTCCTTCCTTTCCCTTGTAACCCCCCAATGGAATTCCAGAAGTCGGGAAGCTCGTCCTCATCCCAACATTCCAAAGCCCCCATTCCTTTCCCTTGTACCCCCCCCAATGGAATTCCAGAAGTCGGGAAGCTCGTGCTCATCCCAACATTCCAAAGCCCCCATTCCTTTCCCTTGTATCCCCCAGTGGAATTCCAGAAGTCGGGAAGCTCGTCCTCATCCCAGCATTCCAAAGCCCCCATCCCCTTCCTTCCTTTCCCTTCTACCCCCAATGGAATTCCAGAAGTCAGGAAGCTCGTCCTCATCCCAACATTCCAAAGCCCCCATTCCTTTCCCTTGTACCCCCCCAATGGAATTCCAGAAGTTGGGAAGCTCATCTTCATCCCAACATTCCAAAGCCCCCGTTCCTTTCCCTTGTACCCCTCCCAATGGAATTCCAGAAGTCGGGATACGGGATGCAATCCATTAGGATGCTCTCTTTACCCCTTCTAGAGGCCATCAACTGCTTGCTGCGCGCCATTGAGATCTACACGGACATGGTGAGTGCTGGATGCGGATCCCATGGGAATACCGGATCCTATGGGAGTACCGGATCCCATGGGAATGCTGGATCCCATGGGAATGCCGGCATTCCCGCTATCCCACCGCTTCCAGGGCCGCTTCACCATCGCCGCCAAGCACCACGTCTCCATCGCCGAGCTCTACGAGACGGAGCTGGTGGAGGTCGAGAAAGTAAGGGAAAAGTTGGGAATGCCGCGGGATGCTCCCGGAATTCCGGGCGGGAAGCAGCCGGGAATTCCCAGTTTGGGGCCGCTTCCAAAGGGGATGGTTTGGGATTGGAATTCTGGCTCCTGGGTCCTGGTATTCCCAGAGGAGCTGCTGGGAGAGCCAGGGCTGGGGTTTGTCCTTAGGGAATAACATTGGGAATTGCCCATAGGGAATAACATTGGGAATTATCCTTAGGGAATAACACTGGGAATTGCCCCTTGGGAATAACATTGGGAATTGTCCTTAGGGAATAACACTGGGAATTGCCCCTTGGGAATAACATTGGGAATTGTCCTTAGGGAATAACATTGGGAATTGCCCTTAGGGAATAACATTGGGAACTGCCCCTAGGGAATAACATTGGGAATTGCCCTTAGGGAATAACATTGGGAACTGCCCCTAGGGAATAACATTGGGAATTGCCCTTAGGGAATAACATTGGGAACTGCCCTTAGGGAATAACATTGGGAATTGCCCTTAGGGAATAACATTGGGAACTGCTCCTAGGGAATAACATTGGGAATTGCCCTTAGGGAATAACATTGGGAACTGCCCTTAGGGAATAACATTGGGAATTGCCCTTAGGGAATAACATTGGGATTTATCCTTAGGGAATAACATTGGGAATTGCCCATAGGGAATAACATTGGGATTTATCCTTAGGGAATAACATTGGGATTTATCCTTAGAGAATAACCCTGGGAATTGCCCTTAGGGAATAACATTGGGATTTATCCTTAGGGAATAACATTGGGAATTGCCCTTAGGGAATAACACTGGGAATTGCCCTTAGGGAATAACATTGGGATTTATCCTTAGGGAATAACACTGGGAATTGCCCTTAGGGAATAACACTGGGAATTGCCCCTAGGGAATAACAGTGGGGTTTATCCTTAGGGAATAACATTGGGAATTGCCCTTAGGGATTCCCAATAGGAGTTGCCCTTAAGAGTTCCCGGTTGGGACTGATCCCGATGGAATTCCCTTGGGATCCCGGCGGCGGCTCCCTCGCCATTCCCGCCTGGGAATCCTCCAGCCCTTCCCGTGCTTTCCCCAGGCCATCGCCCACTACGAGCAGGCGGCCGATTACTACCGGGGCGAGGAATCCAACAGGTAGGAATTGCGGGAATGCCGCAGCCCGGCGCCGTTCCCGACTTCATTCCCAATGGGATTCCCGGCGCCATTCCCGACCCCATTCCCGACTTCATTCCCAATGGGATTCCCGACACCATTCCGATGCCGTTCCCAACATCATTCCCGGTGCCATTCCCGACTTCATTCCCAACGGGATTCCCGGTGCCATTCCCGACGCCATTCCCGACTTCATTCCAAATGGGATTCCCGGCACCATTCCCGACACCATTCCCAACGGGATTCCCGGCACCATTCCAGTGCCGTTCCCAACACCATTCCCGGTGCCATTCCCGACTTTATTCCCAGCGGGATTCCCGGCACCATTCCCGACGCCATTCCTGATGGGATTCCTGATGCGATTCCTGACACCATCCCTAACTTGATTCCCGACACAATTCCCGACTTCAATCCCAACGGGATTCCCGACGCCATTCCCGACTTCATTCCCAATGGGATTCCCGACACCATTCCAGTGCCGTTCCCAACATCATTCCCGATGCCATTCCCGACTTCATTCCCAATGGGATTCCCGGCACCATTCCCGATGCCGTTCCCAACATCATTCCCGGTGCCATTCCTGACTTCATTCCCAACGGGATTCCCGGCGCCATTCCCGACGCTATTCCCGACTTCATTCCCAATGGGATTCCCGGCACCATTCCTGTGCCATTCCCAACATCATTCCCGGTGCCATTCCCGACTTCATTCCCAATGGGATTCCCGGCACCATTCCGATGCCATTCCCAACGCCATTCCCAATGGGATTGCCGACACCATTCTGATGCCATTCCCAACTTCATTCCCAACGGGATTCCCGGCACCATTCCAGTGCCGTTCCCAACATCATTCCCGACCCCATTCCCGACTTCATTCCCAATGGGATTCCCGGCACCATTCCGATGCCATTCCCAACTTCATTCCCAATGGGATTCCCGACACCATTCCAGTGCTGTTCCCAACATCATTCCCAGTGCCATTCCCGACTTCATTCCCAATGGGATTCCCGACACCATTCCAGTGCCGTTCCCAACATCATTCCGGGTGCCATTCCCGACTTCATTCCCAACGGGATTCCCAGCGCCATTCCCGACGCTATTCCCGACTTCATTCCCAACGGGATTCCCGACACCATTCCAATGCCATTCCCAGCATCATTCCCGACGCCATTCCCGACTTCATTCCCAGCGGGATTCCCGGCACCATTCCAATGCCATTCCCAACATCATTCCTGACCCCATTCCCGACTTCATTCCCAATGGGATTCCCGGCACCATTCCCGACGCCATTCCTGATGGGATTCCTGATGCGATTCCTGACACCATCCCTAACTTGATTCCCGACACAATTCCCGACTTCAATCCCAACGGGATTCCCGACGCCATTCCCGACTTCATTCCCAATGGGATTCCCGACACCATTCCAATGCCGTTCCCAACATCATTCCCAGTGCCATTCCCGACTTCATTCCCAACGGGATTCCCGGCGCCATTCCCGACTTCATTCCCAACATCATTCCCAATGCCATTCCCAACTTCATTCCCAACGGGATTCCTGACACCATTCCAGTGCCATTCCCAACATCATTCCCGATGCCATTCCCAACATCATTCCCAATGCCATTCCCAACGGGATTCCCGGCACCATTCCAGTGCCATTCCCAACATCATTCCCAATGCCATTCCCGACTTCATTCCCAATGGGATTCCCAACACCATTCCCAATGGGATTCCGGACACCATTCCGATGCCATTCCCGACTTCATTCCCAACGGGATTCCCGGCACCATTCCAGTGCCGTTCCCAACATCATTCCGGGTGCCATTCCCGACTTCATTCCCAACGGGATTCCCAGCGCCATTCCCAATGGGATTCCCGGCATCATTCCCGGTGCCATTTCGAACTTCATTCCCAATGGGATTCCCGGCACCATTCCAGTGCCATTCCCAACATCATTCCCAATGCCATTCCCGACTTCATTCCCAATGGGATTCCCGGCACCATTCCGATGCCATTCCCAACGCCATTCCCAATGGGATTGCCGACACCATTCTGATGCCATTCCCGACTTCTTTCCCAACGGGATTCCCGGCACCATTCCAGTGCCATTCCCAACTTCATTCCCGACGCCATTCCCGACTTCATTCCCTACGGGATTCCCGACACCATTCCAATGCCATTCCCAGCATCATTCCTGGTGCCATTCCCGACTTCATTCCCAACAGGATTCCCGACACCATTCCTGACTTCATTCCCAATGGGATTCCCGACACCATTCCAGTGCCATTCCCAATGGGATTCCCGACACCATTCCAGTGCCGTTCCCAACATCATTCCTGGTGCCATTCCCGACTTCATTCCCAACGGGATTCCCGGCACCATTCCAGTGCCATTCCCAACATCATTCCCGGTGCTATTCCCGACTTCATTCCCAATGGGATTCCCGGCACCATTCCAATGCTATTCCCAACATCATTCCTGGTGCCATTCCCGACTTCATTCCCAACGGGATTCCCGGCGCCATTCCCGACGCCATTCCCGACTTCATTCCCAATGGGATTCCCGACACCATTCCAATGCCGTTCCCAACATCATTCCCAGTGCCATTCCCGACTTCATTCCCAACGGGATTCCTGGCGCCATTCCCGACTTCATTCCCAACGGGATTCCCGACACCATTCCTGATGGGATTCCCGATGCGATTCCTGACACCATCCCCAACTTGATTCCCGACACAATTCCCAACGCCATTCCCGACTTCATTCCCAACGGGATTCCCGACGCCATTCCCGACTTCATTCCCAACGGGATTCCCGACACCATTCCTGATGGGATTCCCTATGCGATTCCTGACGCCATTCCCAACTTGATTCCCAGCTTCATTCCCGACGCCATTCCCAATGTGATTCCCAACTTGATTCACAATGGGAATCCCGACGTCATTCCCGACACCATTCCTAATGCGATTCCCGACACGATACCGATGCCATTCCCGACGCCATTCCTGATGGGATTCCCAATGCGATTCCTGACACCATTCCCAACTTGATTCCCAACTTCATTCCCGACACCATTCCCAACGCCATTCCGATGCCATTCCCAACTTCATTCCCGACACCATTCCCAACGCCATTCCGATGCCATTCCCAACTTCATTCCCGACTTGATTCCCAATATGATTCCCAACTTGATTCACACTGGGAATCCCGATGTCATTCCTGATGTCATTCCCAACCCCATTCCCAATGCTATTCCCAACGCGATTCGCAGCACCATTCCTGACTTGATTCCCAACGGGATTCCCGACACCATTCCCGACTTGATTCCCAACGCAGTTCCTGACGCCATTCCCAACTCAATTCCCAATGCCATTCCCGATGCGGTTCCCAACTCAATTCCCGACACCATTCCTGACGCTATTCCCTACGTGATTGTCGACGCGATTCCCGATGCTGTTCCCAGCGCCATTCCCTACTTAATTCCCAACACCATTCCCGATGCCATTCCCAAAGCGATCCTGACACGATTCCCGACGCGATTCCCGACTCAATCCCAATGCCATTCCTGACGCAATCCCAGTGCCATTCCCAATGCCATTCCTGACGCGATTCCCAACGCCGTTCCTGACACCATTCCCGATTCCCAATGCCATTCCCAACATCATTCCTGATGTGATTCCCAACACAATTCCCAATGCCATTCCCAACATCATTCCCGACATGATTCCCGACTCAATTCCTGATGCCATTCCCAACGCCATTCCTGACATGATTATTGATGCGATTCCCAACTTCATTCCCAATGTGATTCCCAATGCCATTCCCGACACTGTTCCCAGCTCCATTCCCTACTTGATTGCCAATGCCATTCCCGACACCATTCCCAAAGCGATCCCGAAACAATTCCCGATGCAATCCCAATGCCATTCCGGATGGGATTCCCAATGCCATTCCCAATGCCATTCCCAAAGCGATCCCGACATGATTCCCGACGCAATTCCCAATGTAATCCCAATGCCATTCTGGACGGGATTCCCAATGCCATTCCCAAAGCGATCCCAATGCAATTCCCAATGCAATCCCAATGCCATTCCCGACGGGATTCCCGACAAACAAGCTCCCTTTTTGGGGGGTTGGGAATTGCTGCTCTCGTGGCTTTCCCCTGGGATGCTGCTCCGGGAACGGGCTGGCAGCATTCCAGAGGGTGGGAATCTGTCCCCCCATTGTGGAATATTGGGGGGGGGGGAGTGGAAGGGTCCCAATGGGGCAATGTGGGGTTCCTGATGGGGAGCGGTATTCCCAGCATTCCTGGTATCCCAGTATTCCTATCATTCCTGTCATTCCCATCATTCCCAGCATCCCTGCTATTCCCATCATTCCCAGTATTCCCAGCATCTCTGCTATTCCCATAATTCCCGGTATTCCCAATATTCCCATAATTTCCGTCGTTCCCATCATTCCCAGCATCCCTGCTATTCCCAGCATTGCCGGTATTCCCGGTATTCCCAGTATTCCCATCATTTCCGTCATTCCCAGCATTCCCGCTATTCCCATCATTCCCAGCATCCCTGCTATTCTCATCATTCCTGGTATTCCCACTATTCCTGTCATTCCCATCATTCCCGCTATTCCCATCATTCCCGCTATTCCCATCATTCCCATCATTCCTGCTATTTCCATCATTCCCATCATTCCCACTATTCCCATCCCCATCATTCCCACCATTCCCATCATTCCCGTCATTACCATCATTCCCGGTGTTCCCAGTGTTCCCGTCCCCATCATTCCCACAATTCCCATCATTCCCATCATTCCTGCTATTCCCATCATTCCCGGTATTCCCACCATTCCTGGTATTCCCACCATTCCCGTCATTCCCATCATTCCCGTCATTCCCATCATTCCCGTCATTCCTGCCATTCCCATCATCCCCACCATTCCCATCATTCCCATCCTTCCCGCCATTCCCGGTATTTCCGGTATTCCCATCCCCATCATTCCCGCAATTCCCATCATTCCTGTCATTCCCATCCTTCCCGCCATTCTGGTCATTCCCGGTATTTCCGGTATTCCCATCCCCATCATTCCCACAATTCCTATCATTCCCGTCATCCCTGCTATTCCCATCATTCCCGCCATTCCCATCGTTCCTGCCATTCCCATCATTCCCGCCATTCCCATCGTTCCCGCCATTCCCACCATTCCCGTCATTCCCACCATTCCCGGTATTCCCATCCCCATCATTCCCACAATTCCTATCATTCCCGTCATCCCTGCTATTCCCATCATCCCTGCTATTCCCATCGTTCCTGCCATTCCCGCCATTCCCGCCATTCCCGCCATTCCCATCATTCCTGCCATTCCCATCATCCCCACTATTCCCGTCATTCCGGTATTCCCATCCCCATCATTCCCACAATTTCCATCATTCCCGTCATTCCTGCTATTCCCATCATTCCCGCTATTCCCATCATTCCCATCCTTCCTGTCATTCCCGGTATTCCCATTCCCGCCATTCCCACCATTCCCGGTATTCCCGGTGTTCCCACAGCTCGGCCAACAAGTGCCTGCTGAAGGTGGCCACGTACGCGGCGCAGCTGGAGCAGTACCCGCGCGCCCTCGACATCTACGAGCAGGTGGGGACGGGAGCTTCCCTATTCCAGAGCACGGGAATGGGGCCGATCCCGGCCTTCCCTTCCCATCCTTTCCCTTCCCTTTCCCATCCCCTTCCCTTCCCATCCTTTCCCTTCCCTTCCCTTCCCATCCTTCCCTTCCCTTCCCCTTCCCCTTCCCATCCCTTTCCCTTCCCTTCCCATCCCCTTCCCTTTCCCATCCCCTTCCCATCCCATCCCTTCCCCTTCCCATCCCTTTCCCTTCCCTTTCCCATCCCCTCCCCTTCCCTTTCCTATCCCTTCCCCTTCTCTTCCCATCCCTTTCCCTTTCCCATCCTCTTCCCATCCCTTTCCCTTCCCATCCCTTCCCATCCCCTTCCCTTTCCCATCCCCTTCCCATCCCCTTCCCTTTCCCATCCCCTTCCCATCCCCTTCCCATCCCTTTCCCTTCCCTTTCCCTTCCCTTTTCCATTCTCTTCCCATCTCTTTTCCATCCATTCCCATCCACTTCCTTTCCGTTTCCCATCCCTTCCCTTTCCCATCCCCATCCCTTTCCCATCCCATTCCCATCCCTTTCCCTTTCCCATCCCTTCCCTTTCCCATCCCCATCCCTTTCCCATCTCATTCCCGTCCCTTTCCCATCCCTTCCCTTTCCCATTCCCATCCCTTTCCCATCCCTTTCCCATCCCATTCCCATCCCTTTCCCTTTCCCATCCCCTTTCCTTCCCCATCCCCTTCCCATCCCTTTCCCTTCCCCTTCCCATCCTTTTCCCATCCCTTCCCCTTCCCATCCCTTTCCCGTCCCCTTTCCCTTCCCTTTCCCATGCCTTTCCCATCCCCTTCCCATCCCTTTCCCTTCCCCTTCCCATCCCTTTCCCTTCCCTTTCCATCCCTTTCCCATCCCTTCCCTTTCCCTTCCCCTTTCCATGCTCCCTTCCTGCTCCATGACCTGTGCCCCCCCCAACCCTATGGTATCCCATGGTATTCCTATGATATTCCCATGATATCCCTATGGTATCCCATGGTATTCCTATGATATTCCCATGATATCCCTATGGTATTCCCATGGTATTCCTGTAATATCCCTGTGATATTCCCATGATATCCCTACGGTATTCATGTAGTGTTCATATGACATCCGTATGGTATTCCCATGGTAACTCCTATGATATCCCTACGACATTCCCATGGTATTCCTATGATATCCCTAGGGTATTCTTATGGTAGTTCCTATGATATTCCTATGAAATCTCTATGGTATTCCCATGCTATTCCTATGATATCCCTATGGTATTCCCATGATATCCCTATGGTATTCGTATGAGATTCCTATGGTATTCCCATGATATTCCTATGGCATTCCCATGGCATTCCCTGCTATCCCTATGGTATTGCCATGGCATTCTCTGTTATCCCTATGGCATTTCCATGGCATTCCCAGGGCACTCCCATGGCATTCCCGTATTATCACTACGCCATTCCTATGTTATCCCTGTGCCATTCCCTGTTATCCCTGTGCCATTCCCTGTTGTCCCTATGCCATTCTAATGCCATTCCCATGTTATCCCCATGCCATTCCCTGTTACTCCTGTGCCATTCCTATGTTATCCCTATGCCATTCCCTGTTATCCCTGTGCTATTCCCTGTTATCCCTATGCCATTCCTATGCCATTCTCATGTTATCCCTGTGCCATTCCCTGTTATCCCTATGCCATTTCCTGTTATCCCTGTGCCGTTCCCTGTTATCCCTATGCCATTCCCATGTTATCCCTATGCCATTCCCTGTTGTCCCTGTACCATTCCCATGTTATCCCTATGCCATTCCCATGTATTATCCCTGGGCCATTCCCTGTTATCCCTGGGCCATTCCCTGTTATCCATGTGCCATTCCCATGTTATCCCTATGCCATTCCCTGTTATCCCTGTGCCATTCCCATGTTATCCCTATGCCATTCCCTGTTATCCCTATGCCATTCCCATGTTATCCCTATGCCATTCCCATGTTATCCCCATGACATTCCCTGTTATCCCTATGCCATTCCCTGTTGTCCTTGTACCATTCCCATGTTATCCCTATGCCATTCCCATGTTATCCCTATGCCATTCCCTGTTATCCCTGGGCCATTCCCATGCCATTCCCTGTTATCCCTATGCCATTCCCTGTTATCCCTATGCCATTCCCTGTTATCCCTATGCCATTCCCATGTTATCCCTGGGCCATCCCCGTCCTGCGCCGCTGTCCCGCAGGTGGCGGCCGCAGCCATGGACTCGCCGCTGCTCAAGTACAGCGCCAAGGAGCACTTCTTCAGGGCCGCCCTCTGCCACTTCTGCATCGACGCCCTCAACGCCAAGGTACCCCCGGGACGCATCCGCTTCCCATCCCGATCCCCATCCCGCTCCTCATCCCGCTCCTCATCCCGGTCCTCATCCCGATCCCCATCCCGGTCCCCATCCCGGTCCCCATCCCGATCCCCATCCCGCTCCTCATCCCGATCCCCATCCATCCCCTGTGCTCCTCATCCCGCTCCTCATCCCGATCCCCATCCATCCCTTGTGCTCCTCATCCCGATCCCCATCCCGGTCCCCATCCCGCTCCTCATCCTGCTCCTCATCCCGATCCCCATCCCGGTCCCCATCCCGCTCCTCATCCCAGTCCTCATCCCGGTCCCCATCCATCCCCTGTGCTCCTCATCCCAATCCCCATCCCGATCCCCATCCATCCCTTGTGCTCCTCATCCCGATCCCCATCCCGGTCCCCATCCCGCTCCTCATCCCGGTCCTCATCCCAGTCCCCATCCATCCCCTGTGCTCCCCATCCCGCTCCCCATCCCGGTCCCCATCCCGGTCCTCATCCCGATCCCCATCCCGCTCCTCATCCCGGTCCCCATCCATCCCCTGCGCTCCTCATCCCGATCCCCATCCCGCTCCTCATCCATCCCCTGTGCTCCCCATCCCGGTCCCCATCCCGGTCCTCATCCCGATCCCCATCCATCCCCTGTGCTCCCCATCCCACTCCTCATCCTCATCCTCATCCATCCCTTGTGCTCCTCATCCCGCTCCCCATCCCGCTCCTCATCCCGGTCCTCATCCTCATCCTCATCCATCCCCTGTGCTCCTCATCCCAGTCCCCATCCTGCTCCTCATCCCGCTCCTCATCCCGGTCCCCATCCATCCCCTGTGCTCCCCATCCCGCTCCCCATCCCGCTCCTCATCCCGCTCCTCATCCCAGTCCCCATCCCGATCCCCATCCATCCCTTGTGCTCCTCATCCCGATCCCCATCCCACTCCCCATCCCGCTCCTCATCCCGGTCCTCATCCCGGTCCCCATCCATCCTCTGTGCTCCCCATCCCGCTCCTCATCCCGGTCCCCATCCCAGTCCTCATCCTCATCCATCCCTTGTGCTCCTCATCCCGCTCCCCATCCTGGTCCTCATCCCAGTCCCCATCCTGCTCCTCATCCTCATCCTCATCCTCATCCATCCCTTGTGCTCCCCATCCCGGTCCCCATCCCGGTCCTCATCCCGGTCCCCATCCCGGTCCTCATCCCGGTCCCCATCCCGGTCCTCATCCTCATCCTCATCCATCCCCTGTGCTCCTCATCCCAGTCCCCATCCTGGTCCTCATCCCGGTCCTCATCCTGGTCCTCATCCATTCCCTGTGCTCCTCATCCCAGTCCTCATCCCGGTCCCCATCCATCCCCTGCGCTCCTCATCCCGATCCCCATCCCACTCCTCATCCATCCCCTGTGCTCCCCATCCCGGTCCCCATCCCAGTCCTCATCCCGATCCCCATCCATTCCCTGTGCTCCCCATCCCAGTCCCCATCCCAGTCCCCATCCCAGTCCTCATCCATTCCCTGTGCTCCTCATCCCGGTCCCCATCCCAGTCCTCATCCCGGTCCTCATCCATTCCCTGTGCTCCTCATCCCAGTCCCCATCCTGGTCCTCATCCATTCCCTATGCTCCCCATCCTGGTCCTCGTCCCAGTCCCCATCCCAGTCCTTATCCCGGTCCCCATCCATCACCTGTGCTCCTCATCCTCATCCCTCCCCATCCCTCCCCATCCCTCCCTCTCCCATTCCCACTTTCCCATCCCTCCCTCTCCCATTCCCACTTTCCCATCCCTCCCTCTCCCATTCCCACTTTTCCATCCCTCCCTCTCCCATTCCCACTTTTCCATCCCTCCCTCTCTCCCCCCCCAGCTGGCCATGCAGAAGTACGAAGAGATGTTCCCAGCTTTCTCCGACTCCCGGGAATGCAAACTCCTCAAGGTACGCCCCCCCCCCCCCCAATATCCCATCATTCCCAATTCCAGCCCTTGGGAATGCTGCCACCACAACCCCTTTCCCTTTCCCCCTCCTCTTCCAGAAGCTCCTGGAAGCCCACGAGGAGCAGAACGTGGATGGATACACGGACGCGGTGGGTCCCGCGCCGGCATTCCCGCAGCCGGGAAGCGGTGGCTCCCGTTCCCGTTATCCCGTTCCCACTTCCCGTTATCCCATTCCCAGGTGAAGGAATACGACTCCATCTCCCGCCTGGACCAGTGGCTCACCACCATGCTGCTCCGCATCAAGAAGACCATCCAAGGCGAAGAGGAGGATCTGCGCTAGGACCATTCCTAGTATTCCCAATGGCATTCCCAACTCCTGGAATTCCCCCCCCCCCATCCTCCTTCCCACACGTATTTAATGGGCTTTCCCTATTCCTGCCCTCTGGATCCAATGGGGCGGGGAGGAGGGGGGGGAGGAAGAGGATGCTGCTCCATGGGGCAGAGGCTCTCCCGCCTGTATCCCTCTTCCCAAAGGCAAATAAAGCGGAGCATGAGTGGATCCTGCCCCACACATGGGGGGGGGAAGGACATCCCCTGACCCCCAAGTCCTTGCCCCACACATTTGGGGGGGGGGGATGACACCCCCTGACCCCCAAGTCCCTGCCCCACACATGGAGGGGAGAAACGACTCTCTCTGACCCCCAAATCCCTGCCCCACACATTGGGGAGGAGGGGGGAGAACGACACCCCCTGACCCCCAAATCCCTGCCCCACACATGGATGGGGGGAACGACCCCCCCACTGCCCCCCAAGTCCCTGCCCCACACATGGGGGGGGGGAAGTACCCCCCGAGCCCCACACATTGGAGGCGGGGAGCAGGGACCATGCTCCTGCCCCACATCCCCATGGTCCCTGCTGGTCCCCATTGAGGCCCCTTCGCCCCGCCCCTTTTAGGGGCGGGGCTACCATTGAGTGGGCGTGGTCGTAGCACGGCCTTTGGCCAATGGGCGGTGCTATATGCAAATGGGCTTGGCCTCCTTATAGACCTGACCAAAGGAAGTGCCAAAGCTCCGCCCACAATGGGCGGAGCCTTTTTGTGCTCCCCTCCAATAGGCGATGCCCTCAACGCCCCGCCCACAATGGGAGGAGCCTCTGAGCTCTCCTTTAATACCCGGGGGCACTCAAAGCCCCGCCCACAATGGGAGGAGTCTCCGCCCTCGCCTCCACTCTACGGGGTGGCTTCAAGCCCCGCCCACAATAGGCGGAGCCTCTTTGCGGTGCCCCCCCCAATGGGCGGAGTCACTCGAATCCCCGCCCATAGTAGGCGGAGCCTCTTTGAGCTCGCCTCCACTCTGTCGGGTGGCTCCAAGCCCCGCCCACAATGGGCGGAGCTTCTGCTCTCCCCTCCACTACGGGGTTCCTCCAAGCCCCGCCCACAATAGGCGGAGCCGCTTTGCGCTAGCCTCCAATGGGCGGAGTCACCCGCAGCCCCGCCCACAATGGCCGGAGCCGCCGTGCTCTGCCGGGCGCCCCCAAGCCCCGCCCACAATGGGCGGGGCCGCTTTCGCTTGTCCCCCCCAATGGGCGGAGTCACTCAAAGCCCCGCCCACAATGACCGGAGCCGCCGTACTCTGCCGTGCGCCTCCAAGCCCCGCCCACAATGGGCGGAGCCGCTTTCGCGGTGCCCCCCCCCCCAATGGGCGGAGTCACTCAAAGCCCCGCCCACAATGGCCGGAGCCGCCGCGCTCTGCCGGGCGCCCCCAAGCCCCGCCCACAATGGGCGGAGCCGCTTTCGCGGTGCCCCCCCCAATGGGCGGAGTCACTCAAAGCCCCGCCCACAATGGCCGCAGCCTCCGTACACTGCCGGGCGTCCCCAAGCCCCGCCCACAATGGGCGGAGCCGCTTTCGCGGTGCCCCCCCCAATGGGCGGAGTCACTCAAAGCCCCGCCCACAATGGCCGGAGCCGCCGTACTCTGCCGGGCGCCCCCAAGCCCCGCCCACAATGGGCGGAGCCTCTCTTCGCTCCCCTCCAATACCAGGTGCCCTCCTCGCCCCGCCCACAGTGGGCGGAGCTTCACCTCAGGCGGCGGCGGCGGGAGCGGCGGCGGCAGCGGCGGGGCCGGGCCGGGCCTGCTCCCGGTCCCCGCTCCCGGTTCCCCCCCGTTGTTATCGCTGTTTTCTCTCCCCCCCTCCCCGCGTTCCCGATGGCGCTGCCCGCTCCGTGCCCGCTGGCCGAGGACAGCTTCACCCGCCTCAGCTCGCAGAGTAACGTGTACGGGCTGGCGGCGCTACCGGCGGGGGAAGGCCCCGGCGGGCTCCTGGCGGCCGCCCTCAAGGGCAAGGTCATTCACTTCCGGTACCACGAGCTACAGCGGCGCACCCGGCCCCTCGCCAGCGAGCTGCAGTTCACATACATCCCGGGTCAGCCGGGGGGAGAGCTATGGGGGGGCTATGGGTGACTATAGGGGGCTATGGGTGACTATAGGGTGTCTATGGGGGTCTATGGGGTGTCTATGGGTGACTATAGGGGGCTATAGGTGTCTATAGGGCATCTATGGGGGTCTGTAGGGTGTCTGTGGGGGTCTATGGGGTGTCTATGGGTGACTATAGGGGGCTATAGGTGTCTATAGGGCATCTATGGGGGTCTGTAGGGTGTCTATGGGTGACTCTAGGGTGTCTGTGGGGTGTCTATGGGTGACTATAGGGGGCTGTGGGTGTCTATAGGGTGTCTATGGGGGTCTATGGGGTGTCTACGGGTGACTATAGGGGGCTATGGGTGACTATAGGGTGTCTATGGGGGTCTATGTGGTGTCTATGGGTGACTATAGGGGGCTATGGGGGTCTATGGGTGACTATAGGGTGTCTGTGGGGGTCTATGGGGTGTCTATGGGTGACTGTAGGGGGCTATAGGTGTCTATAGGGCATCTATGGGGGCCTGTAGGGTGTCTATGGATGACTATAGGGTGTCTGTGGAGGTCTATGGGGTGTCTATGGGTGACTATAGGGGCTATGGGTGTCTATAGGGTGTCTATGGGGGTCTATAGGGTGTCTATGGGTGACTATAGGGTGTCTATGGGGGTCTATGTGGTGTCTATGGGTGACTATAGGGGGCTATGGGGCTCTATGGGGCGTCTATGGGTGACTATAGGGGCCTATGGGGTGTCTGTGGGGCATCTATGGGGGTCTATGGGTGTCTATGGGTGTCTATGGGTCTCTATGGGTGACTATAGGGTGTCTATAGGTGTCTATAGGGGGCTGTGGGTGTCTATAGGGCATCTGTGGGGGTCTGTAGGGTGTCTATGGGTGACTATAGGGGGCTATGGGTGTCTATAGGGTGTCTATGGGTGACTATAGGGTGTCTATGGGTCTCTGTGGGTGACTATAGGGTGTCTAGAGGTGTCTAGAGGGGGCTGTGGGTGTCTATAGGGCATCTGTGGGGGTCTATAGGGTGTCTATGGGTGACTATAGGGGGCTATGGGTGTCTATAGGGGTCTATGAGGTGTCTATGGGTGACTATAGGGAGCTATAGGTGTCTATAGGGCATCTATGGGGGGCTGTAGGGTGTCTATGGGTGACTATAGGGGGTCTGTGGGTGTCTATGGGGTGTCTGTGGTTGTCTAGGGTGCCTATGGGTGTCCATAGGGTGTCTATGGGTGACTATAGGGGGTCTATGGGTGTCTATAGGGCATCTATGGGGGTCTGTGAGTGTCTATAGAGTGTCTGTAGGGTGCCTATGGGTGTCTATAGGGCATCTGTGGGGGGCTATGGGTGTCTATAGGTTGCGTATGGGTGTCTATAGGGCATCTGTGGGGGGCTGTGTCTGTGGGGGGGTATGAGTGTCCATGGGTGTGTATGGGGTGTCTATGGGGGACTATAGGGTCTATAGGGCCTATGGGTCTCTATGGGGTCTCTCTGTGTGTCTCTATAGGGTCTCTAGGGGTCCCTATGGGATCTCTGTGGGTCTCTATGGGTCTCCATGGGGTGGCTGCTCCCCACTGAACCCCCCCATGCCTGCAGTGGATGCTGAGATCGTCTCCATCGATTCCTTCCCCAAGTCCCCCCCACAGCGCGGGCTCGTTGTGGGCATCACCTTCATCAAGGTACCCTATAGAGCCCACAGAGCCCCATGGACCCCATAGACCCCTATAGACACCATAGAGCCCCATAGACTCCTATAGACTCCATAGATCCCTATAGACCCTATAGAGTCCATAGAGCCCCATAGACACCCCATAGAGCCCCATAGACCCCATAGAGCCTCATAGACCCTATAGACACCTCATAGAGCCCCATAGACTCCATAGATCCCCATAGACCCCTATAGACACCATAGAGCCCTGTAGACCCCTATAGACACTATAGAGCCCCATAGAGCCCCATAGACACCCTATAAATCCCATAGAGCCTCATAGACCCCATAGACACCTCATAGAGCCCCATTGACCCCAGGGAGCCCATAGACACCCCATAGAGCCCTATAGACCCCATGGACCCCATAGACTTCATAGATCCCCATAGACCCCTATAAACACCATAGCGCCCTGTAGACTCCTATAGACACCATAGAGCCCCATAGACCCTATAGAGCCTTACAGAAACCCTATAGATCCCATAGAGCCTCCTAGACCCCATAGACACCTCATAGAGCCCCATAGACCCCTATAGACCCCATAGAGCCCCATAGACCCCATAGAGCCTCATAGACACCCTGTAGATCCCATAGAGCCTCATAGACCCCGTAGACCCTCATAGATCCCCAGAGAGCCCATAGAGCCCCATAGACACCCCATGGACCCCACAGATTCCATAGATCCCCATAGACCCCTATAGACACCATAGAGCACTATAGAGCCCTATAGAGCCCCGTAGACCCCATAGAGCCCCACAGACCCCATAGAGCCTCATAGACACCCTATAGATCCCACAGCACCTCATAGACCCTCATAGATCCCTAGAGAGCCCCAGAGAGCCCATAGAGCCCCATAGACACCCCATGGACCCCATAGATTCCATAGATCCCCATAGACACCATAGAGCCCCATAGAGCCTCGTAGATGCCCTATAGATCCCATAGAGCCTCATAGATCCCCATAGAGCCCCATTGACCCCAGAGAGCCCATAAACACCCCATAGTGCCCCATAGACACCCCATAGGACCCCCCCCATGCTCCTTGCGCCCCCCAGGACTCCGGGGACAAGCCCAGCCCCTTCCTCAACATCTACTGTGACTACGAGCCCGGCTCCGAGTACGACCTCGACTCTGTGGCCCGTGAGTTTGGGCGCATTTTGGGGCATTTTGGGCTCATTTTGGGGCATTTTGGGTGCTTTGTGGTGTTTCAGGGGTGGTTTGGGGTGTTTTAGGGGTGGTTTTGGGGTGCCCCCCCATCTTTCTCCTCTCTCCCCCCACAGAGAGTTGCCTCAACCTGGAGCTGCAGTTCACCCCCTTCCAGCTCTGCCACGCTGAGTGCGTCCCCCCCTATTCCATATCCCATACCCCATATATCCCATATCCGATATCCCATGTACCCCATACCCCATATCCGATGCCCCATATCCCATATATCCCATATGTCCCATATATCTCATATCCCATATATACCATACCCCATACGCCCCATACCTCCTATACCCCATATCCCATATACCGCATATGTTATGTATCCCATATCCCATATATCCCATACACCCCATATCCCACATACCCCATATCCCATATATCCCATACACCCCATACCCCATACACCCCATATCCCATATACCCCATACCCCCTATCCCACACCCCATACCCCATATCCCATATACACATATCCCACACCCCATACACCCCATATCCCACATACCCCATACACCCCATATACCCCATACCCCATATATCCCATACCCCACACCCCATACCCGACACCCCATACCCCATATACCCCATACCCCATATCCCCCATCCCATATCCAGGGTTCGGAGCGGTGAGCACCTTGAGACCGTTTTCCTGCTCAGTGGCAATGACCCGGCCGTGCACCTCTACAAGGAGGTGAGAGCATCCCATTCCCCTTCCCTTTCCCCTTCCCTTTCCCCTTCCCTTTCCCCTTCCCTTTCCCCTTCCCATTCCCCGTCCCATTCCCCTTCCCATTCCCCTTCCCATTCCCCTTCCCATTCCCCTTCCCATTCCCCTTCCCATTCCCCTTCCCCACTCCCCTTCCCCCTTCCCCTTCCCCCTTCCCCTTCCCCCTTCCCCTTCCCCCTTCCCCTTCCCCCTTCCCCTTCCCCCTTCCCCTTCCCCCTTCCCCTTCCCCATTCCCCTTCCCCATTCCCCTTCCCCATTCCCCTTCCCCATTCCCCTTCCCCATTCCCCTTCCCCATTCCCCTTCCCCATTCCCCTTCCCTCAGTTCCCATTCCCCTTCCCATTCCCCCTCTCACCCTTCCCCTTCTCCCCCCCCAGAATTCCAGCTCACACCAGTTTGAGGAGCAGCCCATCCAGCGCCTCTTCCCCTTTCCCCTTCCCCACCTTCCCCAAGTACAGCAGGAACCATTCCCCTTCCCATTCCCCTTCCCCATTCCCCCCCCATTCCCATTCCCCCCATTCCCCCCCCATTCCCCCCATTATCCCATTGTTACCCCCCATTCCCCCCCTTTCTCCCTCCCCATCTCCCCCCATTCCCCCCCATTCCCCCCCCATTCCCCCCCCATTCCCCCCCATTCCCCCTCCCCCTCTTCCTCCCTCACACCAGTTTGAGGAGCAGCCCATCTCCCCGGAGCTCAGGACCTTCCCCCCAGGAACCGGGAATTCCCACCTGTATTTCCTCCCCGTTTCCCCCCATTCTCCCCCTCATTCCCCCCCATTCCAACCTGTATTCCCCCCCATTCCCACCCCATTCCCACCCCATTCCCCCTCATTCCCACCCTATTCCCCCCCCATTCCCCCCCCATTCTCCCCCCCATTCCGCCCCCCATTCCTCCCCCCAATTCCATTCCCCCCTCATTCCCCCCCATTCCATTCCCCCCCCATTCCCCCCCCATTCCCACCCCATTCTCCCCCTCATTCCCCCCCCATCATTCCCCCCCATTTCCCCCCATCTCCCCCTCATCATTCCCCCCCCCCTCATTCCCCCCCATCATTCCCCCCTCATTCCCCCCCCATCATTCCCCCCTCATTCCCCCCTCATTCCCCCCTCATTGCCCCCCCCATTCCTCCCCTCATTCCCCCCCCCATTCCCTTCCAGTGTCCTTTGGCTCCACGTCCTGACCCTTCCCGGCCCCACTTCCCATCGGATCACGGCCTTCGGCTGCCAGAGCGGCCACGTCCGCGTCGCCCGCGTGGACCAGAGCGGTCCCAGTGAGTCCCAATGGGAATTCCCAGCCTTGGGAATCCCACATTCCCCCTCCCCCCCCCCCCAAGGACTTGGCTTCCTGGTGTCATTCCCACCCTTGGGAATTCCCACTCCGCAGCTGTGCTCCAAAGCTGGAGCATCCAGCAGGATGGGCCCATCTCCAAGGTGCTGGTGTTCCCGTTGCCGCCGGAACCGCATCCCGATGCTTCCGGGCAGGGTGGGTGAGCCCAGTCCTGCTCATTCCCAGCCTTTTCCTGCCCATCCCGGCTCTTCCTCATCCTCCTCTTCCTCCTTCCCGTAGGAGATGCGGCGGCCGAGCCATGCTTCGGTGTCCTGGTGGCCAGTACCATGGAGCTCAGCGTGGTCTATAGGTACCAGCATCGTTCCCATTCCCATCGTCGTCCTTTATCCATCCCCATCCTGCTCCTTCCATCCCCATCATCATCCTCCTCCCCGTCCCATTCCCTCCTCTCCATCCCATTCCCTCCTCTCCATCCCATCCCCTCCTGCCCATCCCATCCCCTCCTGCCCATCCCATTCCCTCCTCTCCATCCCCATTCCCTCCTCCCCATCCCATTCCCCCCTCCCCATCCCCTCCTCCCCATCCCATCCCCTCCTCCCCATCCCCATTCCCTCCTCCCCATCCCATCCCTTCCTCCCCATCCCATCCCCTCCTCCCCATTCCCTCCTCCCCATCCCCATTCCCTCCTCCCCATCCCATTCCCTCCTCCCCATCCCATTCCCTCCTCTCCATCCCATCCCCTCCTGCCCATCCCATCCCCTCCTCTCCATCCCCATTCCCTCCTCCCCATCCCATTCCCTCCTCCCCATCCCCTCCTCCCCATCCCATCCCCTCCTCCCCATCCCATCTCCTCCTCCCCATCCCATCCCCTCCCCTCCACCCCATTCCCCCCTTCCCACCCCATTCCCCCTTTTCCCTAGGGATGTGCTGAGCCGGGGCCTGACGGAGCAGTGCCCATTGCCAGGCAGTGACCTCCACGACAGCGTCCTCTGCGCCCTCACCCCGGACCTGGACTTCGATGGGCACCCAGAGGTGCTGCTGGGCACCTATGGCCAGGTCCGGATGGGATCGGGGTGGGAACAGGGATGGGAACAGGGATGCTCCTCTTCCCGCTTGCTTTTCCATGGTTTCCCACTTGTTTCCTGGTTGTTTCCCACTTGTTTCCTGGTTATTTCCCACTCATTTCCTGGTGGTTTCTCAGTGATTTCCTCATTGGTTCCCACTTGGTTGGTTCCTGGTGGTTTCCCAATGGATTCCCCATTGTTTCCTGGTTGCTTCCCAGTCATTTCCTGGTGGTTTCCCAAGGGTTTCCTGGTTGTTTCCCACTCATTTCCTGGTGGTTTCCCAGTGGATTCCCAGGTTTTTCCCAGTGATTTCCTCATTGATTTCCACTTGGTTGGTTCCTGGTGGCTTACCAGTGGTTTCCCTATTGTTTCCTGGTGGTTTCCCAATGGATTCCCCATTGTTTCCTGGTTATTTCCCAGTCATTTCCTGGTGGTTTCCCAATGGTTTTCCCTGTTGTTTCCCATTGGTTTCCCAGTGGACCCCCTGTTGTTTCCCATTAGTTTCCTATTGTTTCCCATTGGTTTCCCAGTTGTTTCCTATTGGTTTCCCCATTGTTCCCCCATTGCTTCCCATTGGTTTCCGGGTTGTTTCCCCATTGTTCCCCCTTGTTTCCCCCTTGTTCCCCATTGTTCCCCATTGTTCCCCCTTGTTCCCCATTGTTTCCCATTGGTTTCCCAGTTGTTTCCCCATTGTTTCCCCTTGTTTCCCCATTACGTCCCATTGGTTTCCAGGTTGTTTCCCATTGGTTTCCAGGTTGTTTCCCCATTATTCCCCCTTGTTTCCCATTGGTTTCCAGGTTGTTTCCCCATTGTTCCCCATTACTTCCCATTGGTTTCCCCCTTGTTTCCCCATTGGTTTCCAGGTTGTTTCCCCATTGTTCCCCCTTGTTTCCCCATTACTTCCCATTGGTTTCCCCCTTGTTTCCCCATTGGTTTCCAGGTTGTTTCCCCTTGTTTCCCCATTACTTCCCATTGGTTTCCAGGTTGTTTCCCATTGGTTTCCCATTGTTGTTTCCCCATTGGTTTTCCTTCTTGTTTCCCATTGGTTTCCTTGTTTCCCCATTACTTCCCATTGGTTTCCAGGTTGTTTCCCATTGGTTTCCGGGTTGTTTCCCCATTGTTCCCCCTTGCTTCCCCACTGCTTCCCATTGGTTTCCAGGTTGTTTCCCATTGGTTTCCGGGTTGTTTCCCCATTGTTCCTTCTTGTTTCCCATTGGTTTCCGGGTTGTTTCCCAGTTGTTTCCCCATTATTCCCCCTTGTTTCCCGTTGGTTTCCGGGTTGTTTCCCATTGGTTTCCGGGTTGTTTCCCCATTGTTCCCCACTGCTTCCCGCAGGAGCTGCTCTGTTACAAGTATTCCGGAGGGGAATTCCGCCTGCTCTGGTCCCGGCGCTTCCCGAGCCCGCTCCTGTCCCTGCTCTACAGCGACCTCACCGGGGACGGCCTGGCCGAGCTCGCCGTGGTCTGCGTGCGGGGCCTGCACGTGCTGCAGGTCAGGGGGGCCCAAACAGCCCTGGAACACCCCAAAACACCCAAAAATACCAAAAAACACCCCAAAATAACCCCAAAATCACCCCAAAACAGTCCAAAATACCCCAAAACAGCCACAAATCACCCCAAAATACCCCAAAACAGCCTAAAATCACCCCAAAACAGCCTGAAATCACCCCAAAACAGCCACAAATCACCCCAAAACACCCCAAAATACCCCAAAACAGCCAAAATACCCCAAAACAGCCACAAAACACCCCAAAACACCCCAAAACAGCCACAAAACACCCCAAAACACCCCAAAGCAGTCCAAAATACCCCCAAACAGCCACAAAACACCCCAAAATCACCCCAAAATACCCCAAAACAGTCCAAAATACCCCCAAACAGCCACAAAACACCCCAAAACAGTCCAAAATACCCCCAAACAGCCACAAAACACCCCAAAATCACCCCAAAACACCCCAAAACTGTCCAAAATACCCCCAAACAGCCACAAAACACCCCAAAATCACTCCAAAACACCCCAAAATACCCCAAAACAAACACAAAACACCCCAACATACCCCAACATACCCCAAAACACCCCAAAACACCCCCATATCACCCCAAAACACCTCAAAATACCCTAAAACACCCCAAAATCACCCAAAACAGCCACAAAACACCACAAAACACCCAAAATCTTCCCCAAATCACCCCAAAACAGCCCCAAACAGCCCAAAATACTCCTGTATCACCCCAAGATACCCCAAAACACCCCCATATCATGCCAAAATACCCCCAAATCACCCCAAAACAGCCCAAATCACCACAAAATAGCCCCAAATCACCCCAAAATCGCCTCAAAACAGCCCCAAACAGCCCAAAATACCCCGAAATCACCCCAAAATACCCCTGAATCACCCCCAAACAGCCCCAAAATCCAAAATACCCCCAAAGCACCCCAAAATACCCCCAAATCACCCCAAAACAGCCCCAAACAGCCCACAACAAACCCAAATCACCCTGAAATACCCCAAAATACCCCCAAATCACCCCAAAACAGCCCCAAATCACTCCAAAATACCCCCAAATCATCCTAAAATACCCCAAAATCACCCTAAAATACCCCAAATCACCCCCCAAAACCCAAAAACACCCAAAAAAACCCAAACTGTCCCAAAACAACCCAAAACCACCCCAAATCCACCCAATCCCACGGGAAGCGCCCATAGGATCCATCCCACCCCTGGCCCTCATCCCAGTCCCTCGTCCTGGTTCTTTATCCCATCCCTATCCTGGTCTGATGCTGATTCCTGGATCCCGATCCCGTTATCCTGGATCCTGATCCCGTTATCCCATTCTGATCCCGTTATCCCGGATCCCAATGCCATTATCCCATTCTGATGCTGTTATCCCGGATCCTGATCCTGTTATCCCATTCTGATCCCGTTATCCCGGATACCAATGACATTATCCCATTCTGATGCTGTTATCCCGGATCCTGATCCCATTATCCCATTCTGATCCCGTTATCCCATCCTGATCCCCTTATCCTGGATCCTGATCCCGTTATCCCGCTTCCGGATGCTGCTATCCTGGTTTCTGATGCTGTTATCCCATTCTGATCCTGTTCTGGATCCTGATGCCATTATTCTGGTTCCTGATGCTGTTATCCCTGTTCCTGATCCCGTTATCCCTATTCCTGATCCCGTTATCCCTGTTCCTGATCCCATTATCCCTTCCTGATCCCGTTATCCCTATTCCTGATCCTGTTATCCCTGTTCCTGATCCCCTTATCCCTATTCCTGATCCCGTTATCCCTATTCCTGATCCCGTTATCCCTATTCCTGCTCCCATTATCCCTATTCCTGCTCCCATTATCCCTGTTCCTGCTCCCATTATCCCATCCTGATCCCGTTATCCCTATTCCTGCTCCCGTTATCCCTATTCCTGCTCCCATTATCCCTGTTCCTGCTCCCGTTATCCCATCCTGCTCCCATTATCCCATCCTGCTCCCATTATCCCTATTCCTGCTCCCATTATCCCTGTTCCTGCTCCCATTATCCCATCCTGCTCCCATTATCCCTATTCCTGCTCCCATTATCCCATCCTGCTCCCGTTATCCCTATTCCTGCTCCCATTATTCCTATTCCTGCTCCCATTATCCCATTCTGATCCCATTATCCCTATTCCTGCTCCCGTTATCCCTGTTCCTGATCCCATTATCCCATCCTGATCCCATTATCCCTGTTCCTGCTCCCATTATCCGTATTCCTGATCCCATTATCCCTGTTCCTGCTCCCATTATCCCTATTCCTGATCCCATTATCCCTATTCCTGATCCCATTATCCCTGTTCCTGCTCCCGTTATCTCATCCTGATCCCGTTATCCCTATTCCTGCTCCCGTTATCCCTATTCCTGCTCCCATTATCCCTATTCCTGATCCCATTATCCCTGTTCCTGCTCCCATTATCCCATCCTGATCCCGTTATCCCTGTTCCTGATCCCATCATCCCTATTCCTGATCCCATTATCCCATCCTGATCCCATTATCCCTGTTCCTGCTCCCATTATCCCTATTCCTGCTCCCATTATCCCATCCTGCTCCCGTTATCCTTGTTCCTGATCCCATTATCCCTGTTCCTGATCCCATTATCCCTATTCCTGATCCCATTATCCCTATTCCTGCTCCCATTATCCCATCCTGCTCCCATTATCCCATCCTGATCCCATTATCCCATCCTGATCCCGTTATCCCTATTCCTGCTCCCATTATCCCATCCTGATCCCATTATCCCTATTCCTGCTCCCATTATCCCATCCTGATCCCATTATCCCTATTCCTGCTCCCATTATCCCATCCTGATCCCGTTATCCCCTTTCCATCCCCAGCACCGCCTGGAACCGGTCGCTTGCTGCGTCCTGGAGCGGCTCCGGGCCCTCGTGGGGGCCCCCCCCCAATAAACCTGGATCCGGCTCCTCCTGGGGACCCCCCCAAATCCTTTGGGATGGGGTTGGGATCATGGGGGGGGGTCCTAGGGGTCTATGGGGGGGCATAGGGGTCAATGGGGGGGGCCCCAGCGTCCATAGGGGGGCTCGAGGGGGGGGTCATAGGGGTCTATGGGGGGGTCCATAAAGGGGTCTGTGGGGGGGGTCCATAAAGGGGTCTATGGGGGGGTCCATAAAGGGGTCTGGGGGGGGGGTCCATAAAGGGGTCTATGGGGGGGTCCATAGAGAGGTCTATGGGGGGGTCCATAAAGGGGTCTATGGGGGGGGCCATAGAGAGGTCTATGGGGGGGTCCATAAAGGTCTATGGGGGGGGGTCCATAAAGGGGTCTATGGGGGGGTCCATAGAGAGGTCTATGGGGGGGTCCATAAAGGGGTCTATGGGGGGGGCCATAGAGAGGTCTATGGGGGGGTCCATAAAGGGGTCTATGGGGGGGTCCATAAAGGGGTCTATGGGGGGGTCCATAAAGGAGTCTATGGGGGGGTCCATAAAGGGGTCTATGGGGGGGGTCCATAAAGGGGTCTATGGGGGGGTCCATATAGGGGTCTATGGGGGGGTCCATAAAGGGGTCTGTGGGGGGGTCCATAAAGGGGTCTATGGGGGGGTCCATAGAGAGGTCTATGGGGGGGTCCATAAAGGGGTCTATGGGGGGGTCCATAGAGAGGTCTATAGGGGGGTCCCTAAAGGGCCCTCGGGGGTTCAATGAGGGGGGTCCATAGCGATGTCTATGACGGGGGTCAGGGGTCTATAGAGGGGTCAATAGGGGGGTCCATAGGTCTATGGGGGGGTCACAGTGGTCTATAGGGGGGTCCATAGAGGGGTCAATGGGGTGGGGCCATAGGTCTATAGGGGGGTCTATAGGGGGGTCAATGGGGTGGGGCCATAGAGAGGTCTATGGGGGGGTCTATGGGGTGTCTATAGGGGGTTCTATAGAGGAGTCAGTGGGGTTCATAGGGGGGTCTATACAGGGCTCAATGGGGTGGCCCATAGGTCTATGGGGGGGGGTCACAGGGGTCTATAGGGGGGTCAATGGGGGAGTCCATAGAGAGGTCTAAGTGGGGGTCTATAGGGGGTGTCCACAGAGGGGTCAATGAGGGGGGGTTCCATATGTCTATAGGGGGTGTCCATAGATAGGTCTATGGGGGGGGGCTATAGGGGGGGAGGGTCGGGGGGGGGGACGGACTGTCCTGGGAGGTCATAGGGGTCTATGGGGGGGTCTATAGACAGGTCAATGGGGGAGGTCTATGGGGGGTCTATAGAGGGGTCTGGGGGGGGTCCTTAGAGGGGTCCATACCATGGGGGGGTCTATAGGGGGCTCCATAGAGGGCTATGGGGGGGTTGTGTCTATGAGGGGGGCCCAATATAGGGGTCCCTACCATGGGGGGTCTATAGGGGGGTCCATAGAGGGATATGGAGGGGGTCTATGGGGGGGGGGTCCATAGAGAGCTCTATGGGGGGGTCCATCGGGGGGGTCTAATATAGGGGGGTCAATACCATGGGGGGGTCTATAGGGGGGTCCATAGAGGGATTTGGGGGGCATCTATGGGGGGGGGTCCATAGAGAGCTCTATGGGGGAGCCCAATATAGAGGGGTCCATACCATGGGGGGGTCTATAGGAGGGTCCATAGAGGGATTTGGGGGGGATCTATGGGGGGGGTCCATAGAGAGCTCTATGGGGGGGTCCAATATAGAGGGGTCCATACCATGGGGGGGTCTATAGGGGGGTCCATAGAGGGATTTGGGGGGGGATCTATGGAGGGGGGTCCATGGGGGGGGTCCCATATTGAGTGGTCCATAGAGGGATATGGGGGGGTCTATAGGGGGGGTCTAATATAGGGGGGTCAATACCATGGGGGGGTCTATAGGGGGGTCCATAGAGGGATTTGGGGGGGATCTATGGGGGGGGTCCATAGAGAGCTCTATGGGGGGGTCCAATATAGAGGGGTCCATAGAGGGATATGGGGGGGTCTATAGGGGGGGTCCAATATAGAGGGGTCCATACCATGGGGGGATCTACATGGGGGTCAATACAGCGGTATAGGGGGTTCTATGGGGGGGTCCATAGAGGGGTCCATGGGGGGGGGCCATAGGTGGGTCCGGGGGGGTTCCTTTGGGGTCACAGGGGTCAAGGGGGGGGGGGCTCGGGGGCTCCCGATGACGTCACGGGGGCTCCCCCGTTCTCCCAACCCCTGTCCTTAAAGGGGAGGAGGGGGCGGGGCCAGGATCCCCCCGAATCCCGCCCCCCCCAAGCTCCGCCCCCCTCCTCCCCCCCCCCCCTTCCCCCCCCCCCATCGCCATGAAGTGACCGGTAGCGACGGCGGCGGCACCGGGGGGGGCCCGAGCGGAGCCGGAGCCGGACCCAGGTACGGGGGGGGGGGGATAACGGGGAGGGGGAGGGGGGAACGGAGCCTCCCCTCCCCCCACCTGAGGATTGCGGGGGGGGGGAGGGGGGAGGGCACCGGGACCTGACCGGGATCAATGGGGCTGCCCCCAAGCGCCCCCCACATCAATGGGATCAATGGGGGGGGGGGGGGGCTTCCCATTCCTGCATCCCGGATACGGAGCATCCCACCCCCCCCCCCCCCCCCCACCCCCCCCCCCCCCCCCCCCCCCCCCCCGGGTTGGGGGGGGGGGGGGGGGGGGCCGGACCCCAAATTTCCCCCAATTTTCCCCCAATTTCCCCTCAATTTTCCATAAATTCCTCCCAAATTTTCCCTCCATTTCCCCCAAATTCCTCTCAATTTCCCCACTTTTTTTTCCCGAATTTCCCTCAAATCTGCCCCCAAAATCGCCCCCGATTTTCCTGAAATTTCCCTCAAATCCTGCCCCAAATTTTGCCCCGAATTTCCTCCAAATTCCCCCTTTTTCCCCTGAAATCTCCCCCAAATTTCCCCGATTTTCCCCCCAAATTTCCCTGAAATTTCCCTCAAATCCTCCAAAAAAATTTCCCTTAAAATTCCCCTGAATTTCCTCTGAATTTCCTCGGAATCCCTCAAATTTTCCCTCAATTTCTCCCCAAATTCCCTGGAATTTCCCTCCACTCCTCGCCAAATTTGGCCCAAATTTTCTCTCAATCCCCGTGAAATTTCCCCAAAATTTCCCTCAAATCTCTCCCCAAAAATTTCCCCCAGAAATTCCCTGGAATTCCCCTCAAATCCTCCCCAAATTTCCCCAGATTCCCTCAGAATTCCCCCCAATTTTTCCCTAAATTCCTCTCAAATTTCCCCCAAATTTTGCCCGATTTTCCTCAGAATTTCCCCCAAATTTCCCCGAAATTCCCCCAAATTTCCACACATTTTTTCCCAAATCCCCAATTCCCAACATTGGGACCCCCCCCCCCGCCTCCGCTCCCGTTTTCCTCCCTTGGCAACGGCATTCCCAGCTCCCGGAGCCGGGATTTTTCCTCCCCCCCCCCCCCCATATCCCGGAATCTGGAAGCGGAAAACCGGGAATGCCGCTCCCTCGGATCCCGCTATCCCTGGGCATCGGGCTCCGTCCCACTGGGATCCATCCCCGACGCCTTCATCCCAAAGAGCATCCAATGGGATCGGGGGCTTTCCCCGTTCCATTCCCATCCCCCCCCATCCCTGAATCCCTTGGGAATGGCCCCGACCCCATGGAGCCCCTCGGGGGGGGGGGATGTTCCGGATCCGGGAGCGGAATTCCCGCTTGGAATTGGGGCTTTTCCCACCCAGACCATTGGTCCCATTGGTCCCATTGATCCCATTGATCCTACTGATCCCACTGACCCCATTGATCCCACTGATTCCATTGATCCCATTGATCCCACTGATTCCATTGATCCCATTGACCCCATTGATCATTGATCCCATTGGTCCCATTGATTCCATTGATCTCACTGATCCCATTGTTTCCATTGATCCCATTGGTCCCATTGATCCTACTGATCCCATTGTTTCAATTGATCCCATTGCTTCCATTGATCCCATTGGTCCCATTGATCCCGCTGATCCCATTGATCCCACTGAGTCCACTGATCCCATTGATCCTGTTAATCCCGTTGATCCCATTGATCCCACTGACCCCATTGATCCCATTGGTCCCATTGATCCCATTGGTCCCATTAATCCCACTGACCCCATTGATCCCATTGGTCCCATTAATCCCATCGATCCCACTGACCCTATTGATCCCATTGACCCCATTGATCCCACTGATCCCATTGATCCCACTGACCCCATTGATCCCACTGACCCCATTGATCCCATTGACCCCATTGATCCCACTGACCCCATTGATCCCATTGATCCCATTGGTCCCATTAATCCCACCAACCCCATTGGTCCCATTGATTCCATCCATGGCAGCCTGTGGTTGGGGGTCAATCCATGGGGCTGGACCTGGGAATGGGCTGGGAAGCAACGTCCCGCATGGAACGGGATGGGGAATGTGGGCTCGTGCAGTGGGGTCATCTATGGGTGTCTATAGGGTGTCTATAGGGTGGCTATGGGTGTCTATAGGGTGGCTATGGGTGTCTATAGGGTGGCTATGGGTGTCTATAGGGTGGCTATAGGGTGTCTATGGGTGGCTATAGGGTGTCTATGGATGTCTATAGGGTGTCTATGGGTGTCTGTAGGTGGTTATAGGGTGTCTGTAGGTGTCTATGGGATGTCTATAGGTGGCTATAGGGTGTCTATGGATGTCTATAGGGTGTCTATGGGTGTCTATAGGGTGGCTATAGGGTGTCTATGGGTGTCTATAGGGTGTCTATAGGGTGGCTATAGGGTGTCTGGGTGGCTATAGGGTGGCTATAGGGTGTCTATGGGTGTCTATAGGGTGGCTATAGGTGTCTGTGGGTGTCTCTAGGGTGTCTATAGGGTGGCTATGGGTGGCTATAGGGTGTCTATGGATGTCTATAGGGTGGCTATGGGTGTCTGGGTGTCTCTAGGGTGTCTATAGGGTGGCTATGGGTGTCTGGGTGTCTCTAGGGTGTCTCTAGGGTGGCTATGGGTGGCTATGGGTGGCTATAGGGTGTCTATGGAATGTCTATAGGGTGGCTATAGGTGGCTATAGGGTGTCTATGGATGTCTATAGGGTGGCTATAGGGTGTCTATGGGTGTCTATAGGGTGTCTATAGGTGGCTATAGGGTGTCTATGGATGTCTATAAGGTGTCTGTAGGTGGCTACAGGGTGTCCGTGGGATGTCTATAGGTGGCTATGGGGTGTCTGTGGGTGGCTATAGGGTGTCTATGGGTGTCTATAGGGTGGCTGTAGGGTGGCTATAGGTGGCTATAGGGTGTCTATGGGTGTCTGTAGGGTGGCTATGGATGTCTGTAGGGTGGCTATGGGTGTCTATAGGGTGTCTATGGATGTCTATAGTCTATAGGGTGTCTGTAGGTGTCTATAGGGTGTCTGTGGGTGGCTATAGGTGGCTATAGGGTGTCTGTAGGTGGCTATAGGGTGTCTGTAGGTGGCTATAGGGTGTCTATGGGATATCTATGGGATGGCTATAGGGTCTCTATGGGTGTAGGTGGCTATAGGGTGTCTATGGGATGTCTATTGGTGGCTATAGGGTGTCTATGGGTGTCTGTAGGTGGCTATAGGGTGTCTATGGGTGTCTATGGGATGTCTATAGGTGCCTATAGGGTGTGTATGGGTACCTGTAGGTGTCTAAGGGTGTCTATGGGATGTCCATAAGCGCCTATAGGTGTCTATGGGTGTCTGTCTATGGGTGCCTATAGGTGTCTATAGGTGTCAACAGGTGTCTATGGGTCTCTGTGGGTCCCTATGGGTCTCTGTGAGTCTCTATGGGTCTCTATGGGGTCTTTATGGGTCTCTATGTGTCTCTATGGGTCCCTATGTGTCTCTATGGGTCCCTATGGGTCTCTATGGGTCCCTATGGGTCTCTATGGGGTCCCTATGGGTCCCTATTGGTCCCTATGGGCTCTGTCTGTGGCTGTTCCCGGTCCAGGTCCCCCCCCCCCCCCGCACCTTTTTATAGCCGTTGCCATGGGAACCGCGCCGTTGCCAAGGAGCAGCTGGGATCGCCCACGCGCTCCCCCCCCCCCCTCCTGCCCCCCCCCAGCCCCGGAAGGCCACGTGACCCACAGCGTGGGACACCCCCCACATTGCCCAGGACCACGTGACCCCTCTGACCCATAACTGAGCATTGGGACCCCCCCCCCAGACCCATAACTGCGCATTGACCCACGGCCGTGGGTCCTGCCCCACAGCTCCATCCCTGCCCCACACCTGAGCATCACCCCGTGGAACAGCATCACCCCATGGCCATGGTCTCAGCCCCACAGCTCCATCCCTGCCCCACACCTGAGCATCACCCCATGGCTTTGGTCCTCATCTCCACACCTGCATCCCAGCCCCACACCGAGCATCACCCCATGGCCCAGCATCACCCCATGGCCATAGTCCCCAGCCCCATACCTGAGCATCACCCTGTGGCCATGGTCCAGCCCCACAACTGCATCCCTGCCCCACACCTGAGCATCACCCACATTGAGCATCACCCCATGGCCATGGTCCCAGCCCCACAACTGCATCCCTGCCGCACACCTGAGCATCACCCACATTGAGCATCACCCCATGGCCGTGGTCCCAGCCCCACAACTGCATCCCTGCCCCACACCTGAGCATCACCCACACTGAGCATCCCCCCATAGCCCAGCATCACCCCATGGCAGTGGTCCTCATCCCCACACCTGCGTCCCAGCCCCACATCTGAGCATCCCCTCATGGTCATGGTCCCAGCCCCACAGCTCCATCGCAGCCCCACATCTGATCATCCCCCCATGGCTGAGCATCACCCCATGGCCATGGTCCCAGCCCCACACCTCCATCCCAGCCCCACACCTGCATCCCAGCCCCACACCTCAGCATCACCCCATGGCCATGGTCCCCATCCTCACACCTGCATCCCAGCCCCACTTTGAGCATCCCCCCATGGCCATGGTCCCAGCTCCACAGCTCCATCCCAGCCCCACAGCTCCATCCCAGCCCCACACCTCCACCCCAGCCCCACAGTTGAGCATCCCCCCATGGCCATGGTCCCAGCCCCACACCTCCACCCCAGCCCCACACCTGAGCATCCCCCCATGGCCATGGTCCCAGCCCCACACCTCCACCCCAGCCCCACACCTGAGCATCCCCCCATGGCCATGGTCCCTATCCCCACACCTGCATCCCAGCCCCACACCTCAGCATCACCCCATGGCCATGGTCCCCATCCTCACACCTGCATCCCAACCCCACTTTGAGCATCCCCCCATGGCCATGGTCCCAGCCCCACACCTCCACCCCAGCCCCACACCTCCTCCCCAGCCCCACACCTCCACCCCAGCCCCACACCTCCTCCCCAGCCCCACACCTCACCTCTCTCCCTTCCCCACAGGCGCCATGGCCGCTTCTCTCCCTCTCCTCCTCCTCCTCCTCCTCTTGGTGCTTCCCTCGAGCCCCGTGCCCGGCGCCGTGGCCGCGGTGCCGGATGCCAACGGCACGTGCCGGGGTTCGTCGCGGTGCCAACCGGGGGTCCTGCTCCCCGTGTGGCAACCCCACGACCCGTCGGCGGGCGACAAAGCGGCGCGCGCCGTCGTCTACTTCGTGGCCATGGTCTACCTCTTCTTGGGCGTCTCCATCATCGCCGACCGCTTCATGGCCTCCATCGAGGTCATCACGTCCAAGGAGAAGGAGATCACCATCACCCAAGCCAACGGCGAGACCAGCGTGGGCACGGTGCGCATCTGGAACGAGACCGTCTCCAACCTCACCTTGATGGCGTTGGGTTCTTCGGCGCCGGAGATCCTTTTATCGGTCATCGAGGTGTGCGGCCACGACTTCCAAGCGGGCGAATTGGGTCCAGGCACCATCGTCGGCAGCGCCGCCTTCAACATGTTCGTGGTGATCGCCGTCTGCGTCTACGTGGTGCCGGCGGGCGAGAGCCGGCGCATCAAGCACTTGCGCGTCTTCTTCGTCACGGCCGCTTGGAGCATCTTCGCCTACGTGTGGCTCTACCTCATCTTGGCCGTCATCTCGCCCGGCGTCGTGCAGGTGTGGGAAGCCCTCCTCACCCTCATCTTCTTCCCCGTGTGCGTGGTGGTGGCGTGGGCGGCCGACAAGCGCCTCTTGTTCTACAAGGACGTCTACAAGCGCTACCGCGCCGACCCGCGCAGCGGCATCATCATCGGCACCGAAGGCGACGCGCCCAAGGCCATCGAGATGGATGGCGGTGGCGGTGTCGGTGTCCCGGCAGCACCGGTGCCGCCGGTTGACCCATCGGAAGACAAGGACCAGGACGAAGCGCGCCGGGAAGTGATCCAGATCCTAAAGGAACTGAAGCAGAAGTACCCGGAGAAGGAATTGGAGCAACTCTTGGACATGGCCAACTACGCGGCGCTGTTGCACCAACAGAAGAGCCGCGCTTTCTACCGCATCCAAGCCACGCGCATGATGACGGGCGCAGGCAACGTGCTCCGCAAGCACGCGGCCGAGCCGTGGCGACGCGCGGCGAGCGCGGCGGACGCGCGGCGCGGCGACGGCGACGACGACGACGACGAAGGCTGCGGGCGCATCTACTTCGAGCCTTGCCTTTATCACTGCTTGGAGAACTGCGGCGCCGTGACGCTGTCGGTGGCTTGCGAGCCCGGCGCCGGCGCCAACCGCACTTTCTACGTGGATTACCGCACCGAGGACGGCTCGGCCAAGGCGGGCTCCGACTACGAGTACAGCGAAGGCACGTTGGTCTTCAAGCCGGGCGAGACGTTGAAGGAGCTCACCATCGGCATCATCGACGACGACATCTTCGAGGAGGACGAGCGCTTCTTCGTGCGCCTCTTGAACCTCCGCGTCGGCGACGCCGAAGGCATGTTCGAACCCGACTGCGCCGAGCACCCCAAAGGCAAGTTGGTGGCGCCGGCCTTGGCCACCGTCACCATCTTGGACGACGACCACGGCGGGATCTTCGCCTTCCAAGAGCGGTTGCTCCGCGTGAGCGAAGGCCAAGGTTGGGCCGAGGTGAAGGTGGTGCGAGGCTCCGGCGCCCGCGGCACCGTCCTCCTGCCCTACCGCACCGTGGAGGGCTCGGCCAAGGGAGGCGGCGTCCACTACGAGGATGCGGTCGGCGAGCTCGAGTTCGGCAACGACGAGACCATGTGAGGGGGATATGGGGTGGATGTAGGGGGGGGTGATGCAATGGGGCTCGATGGGATGCAATGGGCCTCAACGGGATGCAATGGGGTCAATGGGGCTCAATGGGGCGCAATGGGGCTCAATGGGATGCAGTGGGGCTCAGTGGGATGCAGTGGGGCTCAATGGGGCTCAACAGGATGCAGTGGGGCTCAACAGGATGCAATAGGGCTCAATGGTGTTCAATGGGGCTCAATGGGACGCAATGGGGCTCAATAGGGCTCAGTGGGGCTCAGTGGTGTGCAATGGGGCTCAGTGGGATGCAATGAGGCTCAATGGTGTGCAATGGGGCTCAATGGGGCTCAGTGGGATGCAGTGAGGCTCAATGGGGCTCCATGGTGCTCGGTGGGATGCAATGGGGCTTAATGGGGCTCAGTGGGATGCAGTGGGGCTCAATGGGGCTCAATGGGATGCAATGGGGCGCACTGGGGCTCAATGGTGTGCAATGGGGCTCAATGGGATGCAGTGAGGCCCACTGGGACGCAATGGGGCTCAATGGTGTGCAATGGGGCTCAATGGGACGCAGTGAGGCCCACTGGGACGCAATGGGGCTCAATGGTGTGCAATGGGGCTCAATGGGACGCAATGAGGCCCACTGGGACGTAATGGGGCTCAATAGGATGCAATAGGGCTCCATGGGGCTCAGTGGTGTGCAATGCGGCTCAATGGGATGCACTGGGTCTCAATGGGATGCAATGGGGCTCCATGGAGTGCAATGGGGCGCAATGGGATGCAATGGGGCTCAACGGGGCGCAATGGTGTGCAATGGGGCTCAATGGGATGCAGTGGGGCTCAATGGTGTGCAATGGGGCTCGGGGGCTCAATGGGATGCAATGGGGCTCAATGGGTCTCAATGGGATGCACTGGGGCTCAATGGTGTGCAATGGGGCTCAGTGGGGCTCAGTGGGGCTCAATGGGATGCAATGGGGCTCAATGGGATGCAATGAGGCTCAATGGGACGCAATGGGGCTCAATGGGATGCAATGGGTCTCCATGGGTCTCAATGGTTATCAATGGTTCTCTATGGGTCTCAATGGTTCTCCATGGGTCTCAATGGTTCTCTATGGGTCTCTATGGGTCTCAATGGGTCTCAATGGTTCTCAGTGGGTCTCAATGGTTCTCAATGGGTCTCCGTGGGTCTCCATGGGTCTCAATGGGTCTCTGTGGGTCTCTATGGGTCTCTGTGGGTCTCAATGGGTCTCTGTGGGTCTCTATGGGTCTCAATGGGTCTCTATGGGTCTCAATGGTTCTCTGTGGGTCTCTATGGGTCTCAATGGTTCTCTATGGGTCTCCATGGGTCTCAATGGTTATCAATGGTTCTCAATGGGTCTCAGTGGTTCTCTATGGGTCTCAATGGATCTCTATGGGTCTCCATGGGTCTCAATGGGTCTCTATGGGTCTCTATGGGTCTCCATGGGTCTCAATGGGTCTCAATGGGTCTCAGTGGTTCTCTATAGGTCTCAATAGGTCTCAATGGTTCTCTATGGGTCTCAATGGTTCTCCATGGGTCTCAATGGGTCTCAATGGTTCTCAATGGTTCTCTATGGGTCTCAATGGGTCTCTATGGGTCTCTATGGTTCTCTATGGGTCTCAATGGTTCTCTATGGGTCTCAATGGTTATCTATGGGTCTCAATGGTTCTCTGTGGGTCTCTATGGGTCTCAATGGGTCTCTGTGGGTCTCAATGGTTCTCCATGGGTCTCAGTGGGTCTCAGTGGTTCTCAATGGGTCTCTATGGGTCTCCATGGGTCTCCATGGGTCTCCATGGGTCTCTATGGGTCTCCATGGGTCTCCATGGGTCTCCGTGGGGCCGCAGGAGGTCGCTGCGGGTCCGCCTCGTGGACGCGGCTCAGTACGAGAAGCGGGAGCGGTTTTACATCGAGCTGGGGCCGCCGCGCTGGATGAACCGCGGCATCTCCGGTGAGGGGCGGGGCCTGCGGGAGGGGCGGGGCCTGCGGGAGAGGCAGGGATTGGCTGGAACGGGAAGGGCTTTGAGAGCGAAGGGAGGGGGTTGGCTGGGAGGGCCGGGGTTTGGTTGGGAGGGGCGGAGCCTGCGGGAGGGGCGGGGCTTGAGAGGGAAGGGAGGGGCTTGGCTGGGAGGGGGCGGGACCTGTTGGAGGGGAGGGGATTGAGAGCGAAGGGGAAATTGGGGGCGTGGTTTACGCTGGGAGGGGGCGGGGTTTAATGGGGGCGGGGTTTAGGGGGCGTGGAGGGGGCGTGGCTCAGCGCCTGTTCCCCCCCCCCCCCCCCCCAGCTCTTCTGCTGACCCAAGGTAGGAGCCGACGGCCCGGGCCCGATCCTGATCCCGATCCTGATCCTGATCCCAGTCCTGATCCCGATCCTGATCCCGGGCCCGATCCCGATCCTGATCCCAATCCCAGTCCTGATCCCGATCCTGATCCTGATCCTGATCCCGATCCCAATCCCGATCCTGATCCCGGGCCCGATCCCGATCCTGATCCCAATCCCAGGCCCGATCCCGATCCTGATCCCGATCCTGATCCCGATCCTGGTCCCAATCCCGATCCTGATCCCAGTCCCGATCCTGATCCTGATCCCAATCCCAGTCCTGATCCCAATCCTGATCCCAATCCCGATCCTGATCCCGGGCCCGATCCTGATCCCAATCCCAGTCCCGATCCCGATCCTGATCCCGATCCCAGTCCTGATCCCAATCCCGATCCCAATCCCGATCCTGATCCCAGTCCCGATCCTGATCCTGATCCCAATCCCGATCCCGATCCTGATCCCAATCCCAGTCCTGATCCTGGGCCCGATCCCAATCCTGATCCCGATCCTGATCCCGATCCTGATCCCAATCCCGATCCTGATCCCAATCCCAGTCCCGATCCCGATCCTGATCCCGATCCCAGTCCTGATCCCTATCCTGATCCTGATCCTGGTCCCAATCCTGATCCCGATCTGATCCCGATCACAATCCTGATCCCAGTCACGATCCTGCTCCCAATCCTGATCCCAATCCTGATCCCAGTCCTGATCCTGATCCCAGGTCTAGTCCTGATCCCGCTCCCGCTCCTGATCCCAGCCCCGATCCCAGTCCCAATCCTGTTCCCAACCTGATCCCGATCCTGATCCTGATCTGATCCCAATCCCAATCGTGATCCCGATCCTGATCCCAGTCCTGGTCCTGATCTGATCCTAATCCTGATCGTGATCCTGATCCCAATCCTGATCCCAGTCGCGATCCTGATCCCAATCCTGATTGCGATCCCAATCCTGATCCCAGTCACGATCCTGATCCCAATCCTGATTGTGATCCCAATCCTGATCCCAATCCTGATCCCAGTCGCGATCCTGATCCTAATCCCAGTCCCAATCCCAATCCTGATCCCAGTCCCGATCCTGATCCCAGTCCTGATCCTGATCTGATCCTGATCCCAGTCCCAATCCCAGTCCCAGTCCTTTTCCCAAGCTGATCCCGATCCTGATCCTGATCTGATCCCAATCCTGATCGTGATCGCGATCCTGATCCCAGTCCTGCTCCTGATCTGATCCTAATCCTGATTGTGATCCTGATCCCAATCCCGATCCTGATCCCAATCCTGATCCCGGTCTCGATCCCAGTCCCAATCATGTTCCCGACCTGATCCTAGTCCCGATCCTGATCCCGATCCTGGTCCCGATCCTGATCCCAATCCTGATCCCAATCCTGATCCCAGTCCCGATCCTGATCCCAGTCCTGATCCTGATCCCAGTCCCAGTCCCAATCCTGTTCCCAACCTGATCCCGATCCTGATCCCAGTCCCGATCCTGATCCCTGTCTCGATCCTTTTCCCTATCTGATCCCAATCCTGATCTCAGTCTGATCCCGATCCTGATCCCAATCTGATCCTGATCTGATCCCAGTTCCAACGTGATCCCAATCCTGATCCCAATCCTGATCCCAATCCTGATCCCGATCCTGATCCCAATCTGATCCTGATCCCAATTCCAACGTGATCTCGATCTGATCCCAATCCTGATCCTGATCCGATCCCAATTCCAACGTGATCCCGATCTGATCCCAGTCCTGATCCCAATCCTGATCCCAATCCCGCTCCTGCTCCCATGTCCCCATGCCCCCCCTGTGTCCCTCGTGTCCCTGGCTCTCCCTATGCCCCGTGCACCCCTGTGCCCCACACACTGTGCCCCACACCGTGCCCCACACATTGTACCCCACATTGTGCCCCACACCGTGCCCCATGCCGTACCCCACATTGTACCCCCCACCGTGCCCCACACCGTACCCCACACCGTGCCCCACACTGTGCCCCACACTCCACACATTGTACCCCACATTGTACCCCACATTGTACCCCACACCGTGCCCCACATTGTGCCCCACACTGCGCCCCACACACTGTGCCCCACATTGTGCCCCACACATTGTACCCCACACCGTACCCCACACGTGCCCCACACTGTGCCCCACACTCCACACATTGTACCCCACATTGTACCCCACATTGTACCCCACACCGTGCCCCACACCGTACCCCACACCGTGCCCCACACTGTGCCCCACACTCCACACAGTGTACCCCACATTGTACCCCACATTGTGCCCCACACCATGCCCCACACCGTGCCCCACACCGTACCCCACATTGTACCCCACACCGTGCCCCACACTGTGCCCCACACTCCACACAGTGTACCCCACATTGTACCCCACATTGTACCCCACACCGTGCCCCACACCGTGCCCCACACCGAACCCCACACCATGCCCCACACTGTGCCCCACACTCCACACATTGTACCCCACACCGTACCCCACACAGTGCCCCACACTGTGCCCCACACCCCACACACTGTACCCTACATTGTACCCCACATTGTACCCCACATTGTACCCCACACCGTACCCCACACCGTGCCCCACACCGTGCCCCACACCGTGCCCCACAGCGGATGGCGAGCGGCAGCTCTCTGCCGAGGAGGAGGATGCCCGGCGCATCGCTGAGATGGGCAAACCCGTCCTGGGCGAGAACCGGCGCCTCGAGGTCATCATCGAGGAGTCCTACGACTTCAAGGTAGGGGGCACCATGGGGCAGGCCCCATAGCTCCATGGCCCCATGGCCCCGTAGCCCAATAACCCCATAGCCCCATAACCCCATAGCCCCATTAACCCCATAGCCCCATGGCCCCATAGCTCCATAGCCCCATAACCCCATAGCCCCATGGCCCCATAGCTCCATAGCTCCATAACCCCATAGCCCCCATAAACCCATAGCCCCCATAAACCCATAGCCCCATGGCCCCATAGCTCCATAGACCCATGGCCCCATAGTCCCATGGCCCCATAGCTCCATAGCCCCATAGCTCCATAGCCCCATGGCCACATAGTCCCATGGCCCCATAGCCCCCAAAGCCATGGTCCCATGGCCCCATAGACCCATAACCCCATAGCCCCATAGCCCCGTAGCCCCATAGCCTCATAGTCCCATAGCCCCATAGCTCCATAGCCCCATAACCCCGTAGCCCCCATAACCCCATAGCCCATTGGCCACATAGCCCCATAGCTCCATAGCCCCATGGCCCCATAGCTCCATAGACCCATGACCCCATAGTCCCATGGCCCCATAGCCCCATAACCCCATAGCCCCCATAACCCCATAGCCCCATAGCCCCATAACCCCATAGCCCCCATTAACCCCATGACCCCATAGCTCCATAGACCCATGGCCCCATAGTCCCATGGCCCCATAGCTCCATAGCCCCATAACTCCATAGCCCCATGGCCACATAGGCCCATGGCCCCATAGCCCCAAAGCCATGGTCCCAAGCCCCATAGCCCCATAACCCCATAGCCCCATAGCCCCGTAGCCCCATAGCCTCATAGTCCCATAGCCCCATGGCCCTGTGGCTCCATTGCCCAATGGCCTGATAGCCACATAGCTCCATGGCCCCATAGCCCTATAGCCCAATAACCCCATAGAACCATATCCCATAGCCCCATAACCCAATAGCCCCATAGCCTCTTAACCCTGTAGCCCCATAACCCCATAGCCCTACAGCCTCTTAGCCCTATAGCCCCATAGACCCATAACCCCATAGCCCCATAGCTCCATAGCCCCATAGCCCCATAAACCCATAGCCCCATGGCCCCATAGCCCCTTAGCCCTATATCCCCATAGCCCCATAGCTCCATAGCCCCATAACCCCATAGCCCGTTAGCCCTATAGCCCCATAGCCCCATGGCCCTGCCCCACAGAACACCGTGGACAAGCTGATGAAGAAGACCAACCTGGCCACGGTGATTGGGACGCACTCGTGGAGGGAGCAGTTCCTGGAGGCCATCACTGTCAGTGCAGGTGGGGCCATGCCATGGGGACATCGCCATGGGGCATCGCCATTGGGTACCACCATTGGGCATCACCACCATGGGGCATCGCCATTGGTTACCACCATCATGGACCATCACCACCACTGGGTACCATCACTGCTGGGCATCATCATCACCATTGGGTACCACCGTAGGGTGCCACCATGGAGCATCACCATCGGGTACCATCATCACCATTGGGTACCACCATTGGGTACCACCATAGAGCATCACCATTGGGTACCACCATTGGGTGCCACCACGGAGCATCACCGTTGGGTGCCACCATTGGGTACCACGATGGATCACCACCATTGGGTACCACCATAGAGCATCACCATTGGGTACCACCATAGAGCATCACCATTGGGTACCACCATTGGGTACCACCATTGGGTATCATCATCACCATTGGGTACCACCATTGGGTACCACCCTGGAGCATCACCATTGGGTACCATCATCACCATTGGATACCACATTGGATAGCACCATGGAGCATCACCATTGGGTACCACCATGGATGCCACCATTGGGTACCATCATCACCATCGGGTACCATCATCACCATTGGGTACCACCATTGGGTACCACCCTGGAGCATCACCATCGGGTACCATCATCACCATTGGGTACCATCATCACCATTGGGTACCACCATTGGGTACTACCCTGGAGCATCACCATTAGGTACCATCATCACCATTGGGTACCACATTGGATAGCACCATGGAGCATCACCATTGGGTACCATCATCACCATTGGGTACCAGCATGGATCACCACCATCGGGTACCATCATCACCATTGGTTACCATCATCACCATTGGGTACCACCATTGGATATCACCATAGACCATCACCATCGGGTACCATCATCACCGTTGGGTACCACCATTGGGTACCACCCTGGAGCATCACCATCGGGTACCATCATCGCTGTTGGGTACCATCATCACCATTGGGTACCACCATCGGATACCATCCTGGAGCATCACCATTGGGTACCATCATCACCGTTGGGTACCATCATCACCATTGGGTACCAACATCGGATGCCATCCTGGAGCATCACCATTGGGTACCACCCTGGAGCATCACCATTGGGTACCACCATCACCATTGGGTACCACCATGGATCACCACCATTGGGTACCACCATCACCATCGGGTACCACCATGGATCACCACCATTGGGTACCATCATCACCATTGGGTACCACCATTGGGTACCACCCTGGAGCATCACCATCGGGTACCATCATCACCATTGGGTTCCACCATCGGATACCATCCTGGAGCATCACCATTGGGTACCATCATCACCATTGGGTACCACCATCGGATGCCATCCTGGAGCATCACCGTTGGGTACCATCATCACCATTGGGTACCACCATTGGGTACCACCCTGGAGCATCACCATTGGGTACCACCATCACCATTGGGTACCACCATGGATCACCACCATTGGGTACCACCATCACCATTGGGTACCACCATGGATCACCACCATTGGGTACCATCATCACCATTGGGTACCACCATCGGATACCACCCTGGAGCATCACCATCGGGTACCACCATCACCATTGGGTACCACCATCACCATTGGGTACCACCCTGGCCCACCACCGTGGGCCATCCCCATCATCACCACCTGGTCCCACCACCGGGTACCCACCACGGCCCTACGCCGCCTCCCGCAGCGGGCGAGGAGGAGGAAGAGGAGGAAGGCCGCGAGGAGCGCCTGCCCTCGTGCTTCGACTACGTCATGCACTTCCTGACCGTGTTCTGGAAGGTTCTGTTCGCCTGCGTGCCCCCCACCGCCTACTGCAACGGCTGGGCCTGCTTCGGCGTCTCCATCGTGGTGCTGGGGCTGCTGACGGCGCTCATCGGCGACCTGGCCGCCCACTTCGGCTGCACCGTGGGGCTCAAGGACTCCGTGAACGCCGTGGTCTTCGTGGCGCTCGGGACCTCCATCCCTGGTGAGGGGTGGGGATGGGGTGGGGTATATGGGGTATGGGGTAAAGGGATGGGGATGGGATGGGGATGGGATGTGGTATATGGGGTGTATGGGGTATGGGGTAAAGGGATGGGATGGGGATGGGATGTGGTATATGGGGTGTATGGGGTATGGGGTAAAGGGATGGGATGGGGATGGGATGTGGTATATGGGGTGTATGGCGTATGGGGTATAGGGATGGGGATGGGGTGGGGATGGGATGTGGTATATGGGGTGTATGGCGTATGGGGTAAAGGGATGGGATGGGGATGGGATGTGGTATATGGGGTGTATGGCGTATGGGGTATAGGGATGGGGATGGGATGGGGATGGGATGTGGTATATGGGGTTTATGGTGTATGGGGTATAGGGATGGGGATGGGGTGGGGATGGGATGTGGTATATGGGGTGTATGGGGTATGGGGTAAAGGGATGGGGATGGGATGGGGATGGGATGTGGTATATGGGGTGTATGGGGTATGGGGTATAGGGATGGGGATGGGGTGGGAACGGGATGGGATGGGGATGGGATGGGAACGTGATGGGATGGGATGTGGTATATGGGGTGTATGGCGTATGGGGTATAGGGATGGGGATGGGGTGGGGATGGGATGGGGTATATGGGGTATATGGGGTATGGGGTAAAGGGATGGGGATGGGATGGGGATGGGATGTGGTATATGGGGTGTATGGGGTATGGGGTAAAGGGATGGGGATGGGATGGGAATGGGATGGGATGTGGTATATGGGGTGTATGGGGTATGGGGTATAGGGATGGGGATGGGGTGGGGATGGGGTGGGGTGGGGTGGGATGGGATGGGGTATATGGGGTATGGGGTAAAGGGATGGGGATGGGATGGGAACGGGATGGGATGGGGATGGGATGTGGTATATGGGGTGTATGGCGTATGGGGTATAGGGATGGGGATGGGGTGTGGATGGGGCAGTGGGTGTTGGGTGATGAGGCTGGGTCCGTGTCCCCATGCTCATGGTGAATCCTCTGCCTGTGTCCCCGTGTCCTTGACCCCATCTCATGTCCCATATCCCTGTCCCACACTCCATACCCCATCCCCACCCCATCTCCACCCCATCCCTATCCCTATACCCCATACACCCTACACCCCGTATACTCCATATACCCCATCCCCATCTCCATGCCATCCTGTTCCCATCGCAACCCCATCCCTATACTTCATACCCCATATACCCCATCCCACCCCATCCCCATGCCATCCCATCTCCATCCCCATCCCATCCCCACCCCATCCCCACCTTATACCCCATACACCCCATACACCCCACCCCATACCCCTCCCGTTACCCCATTACCCCATATCCCCCATTACCCCATATCCCCCATTACCCCATTACCCCATCTCCCCCATATCCCCCACATCCCCCATTACCCCATCTCCCCCATATCCCCCTTTCCCCCATGTCCCCCATTACCCCATATCCCCCATTCCCACATATCCCCCATTCCCCCATATCCCCCAATATCCCCCATTACCCCATATCCCCCATATCCCCCATGACCCCATATCCCCCATATCCCCCATTACCCCCTGTCCCCCATATCCCCCATTACCCACTATCCCCCATCTCCCCCATCTCCCCCATATCCCCATCTCCCCCATATCCCCCATTACCCCATTACCCCATATCCCCCATATCCCCCATTACCCCATATCCCCCATTCCCCTGTATCCCCCATTACCCCCATCTCCCCCATTACCCCATATCCCCCATTACCCCATATCCCCCATCTCCCCCCCATTCCCCCCCCCTCCCTCCCCAGACACCTTCGCCAGCAAAGTGGCCGCCCTGCAGGACCCTTGCGCCGACGCCTCCATCGGCAACGTCACCGGTTCCAACGCCGTCAACGTCTTCCTCGGCCTGGGCCTCGCCTGGTCCGTGGCCGCCGTCTATTGGGCGGCTCGGGGTCGACCCTTCGAGGTGCGAGCCGGCACCTTGGCTTTCTCCGTCACCCTCTTCACCGTCTTCGCCTTCGTGGCCATCGGCGTCCTCCTGCTGCGGCGCCGCGGCGCCGGCGGAGGGGAGCTGGGGGGACCCCGCGGACCCAAGCTCCTCACCACGGCGCTCTTCCTCGCCCTCTGGCTCCTCTACGTGCTCTTCGCCAGCCTCGAGGCCTACTGCCACATCCGGGGCTTCTAGGGGGGGGGCTATGGGGTGGGCTATGGGGTGATATGGGGTGATGGGGGTAATGGGGGTGATGGGGGAGATAGGGTAATGGGGATAATGGGGTAATGGGGGTAATGGGGGTGATGGAGGTAATGGGTGAGATAGGGTAATGGGGGTAATGGGGTAATGGGGTAATGGGGGTGATGGAGGTAATGGGTGAGATAGGGTAATGGGGGTAATGGGGTAATAGGGGTGATGGGAGTAATGGGGTAATGGGGGTAATAGGAGTAATAGGGGTAGTGAGGGTGATGGAGTAATAGGAGTAATGGGGGTGATGGAGTAATAGGGGTAATGGGGGAGATAGGGTAATGGAGTAATAGGGGTAATGGGGGTGATGGAGGTAATGGGTGAGATAGGGTAATGGGGGTAAGGGGGTAATGGGGGTGATGGGGATGATGGGGTGATGGAGGCAATGGAGGTAATAGGGCAAAGGGGTTAATGGGGTAATAGGGAGGATGGGGGTGATGGAGTAATGGGAGAGATAGGGTAATGGGAGTAATGGGGATGATGGGGTAATAGGGGTAATGGGGGTGATGGGGTGATGGAGGCAATGGAGGTAATGGGGGTAATGGAGTGATGGGGTAACAGAGGTGATAGGGATGATGGAGTAATGGGGGAGATAGGGTAATGGGGGTAATGGGAGCAATGGGGGTAATGGGGGAGATGGGGTAATGGGGTAATAGGGGTAATGGGTGTAATAGGGGTAATGGAGGTAATGGGAGTAATGGGGGTGATGGAGGTAATGGGTGAGATAGGGTAATGGGGGTAATGGGAGTAATGGGGGTGACGGGGGAGATAGGGTAATGGGGGTAATGGGGCAATGGGGTGATGGGGGTAATGAGGGTGATGGAGGTAATGGGTGAGATAGGGTAATGGGGGTAATGGGGTGATGGGGGTGTTGGGGATGATGGGGGGATGGAGCCAATGGAGGTAATGGGGCAATGGGAGTAATGGAGTAATGGGAGCAATGGGGGTAATGGGGTAATGGGGGTAATGGGGATGATGGAGTAATGGCAGAGATAGGGTAATAGGGGCAATGGGGGTAACGGGAGCAATGGGGTGATGGGGGTAATGGGGGTAATGGAGTAATGGGAGCAATGGGGGTAATGGGGAAAAGGGGGTGATGGGGGTAATGGGGTAATGGGTGCAGATAGGATAATAGGGGCAAGGCGGCTATGGGGTAATGGGGGCAATGGCGGCAATGGGGGGACGATAAGATAATAGGGGCTATGGGGGTAATGGGGTCAGTGGGAGTTATGGGGGCTCTAGGGACAATGGGGGGACATGGGGTCAATTGGGGACAATGGGGGTCAATGCAGGCAATGGGGACACAGGGACATGGGCAGCAATGGGGTCCCCCTCATGCCCCCCATGTCCCCTTTGGGGTCCCCATGTGCCCCTGATGCCCCCCATGTCCCAATGGCCCCCTTGGGACCCCCCCCTTCCCCCCCCCCATGATGTCCCTATGGGGGTCCCAATGTCCCTGGGACCCCCAGATCTTAATGTGGGGCCCATGGGACGTGGTCCATGGACACGAGTGTTGGGGGTCATGTGACACGTGTGTTGGGATCCATAGACACGTGTGTTGGGGGTCATGTGACACGTGTGTTGGGGTCCGTGGACATGTGTGTTGGGGGTCATGTGACACGTGTGTTGGGATCCATTGACACGTGTATTGGGGGTCATGTGACGCGTGTGTTGGGGTCCATGGACATGTGTGTTGGGATCCATGCACACGTGTGTTGGGATCCATGGACACGTGTATTGGGGGTCATGTGACGCGTGTGTTGGGATCCATGGACACGTGTGTTGGGGTCATGTGACACGTGTGTTGGGGTCACGTGACACGTGTGTTGGGGTCCATGGACATGTGTGTTGGGATCCATGGAAACATGTTGGGGGGTCATGTGACACATGTCTTGGGGGTCATGTGACACGTGTGTTGGGATCCATGCACATGTGTGTTGGGGGTCATCGGACATACATGTTGGGGTCCATGGACACGTGTTGCGGGTCATGTGACACATGTTGGGATCCATGGACATGTGTGTTGGGATCATGTGACGCGTGTGTTGGGATCCATGGACACGTGTGTTGGGGTCCGTGGACACGTGTTGGGGGTCATGTGACACGTGTGTTGGGATCCATGCACACGTGTGTTGGGGGGTCATGTGACACATGTGTTGGGATCCATAGACATGTGTGTTGGGGGTCATGTGACACGTGTGTTGGGGTTCGTGGACACGTGTGTTGGGGGTCATGTGACACATGTGTTGGGATCCATGCACACGTGTGTTGGGATCCATGGACTCATGTATTGGGGGGTCATGTGACGCGTGTGTTGGGATCCATGGACACGTGTGTTGGGGTCATGTGACACGTGTGTTGGGGTCCATGGACACGTGTGTTGGGGTCCATGGAAACGTGTTGGGGGGTCATGTGACACGTGTCTTGGGGGTCATGTGACACGTGTATTGGGGTCCAGGCACACGTGTGTTGGGGGATCATGTGACACGTGTGTTGGGATCCATGCACACGTGTGTTGGGAATCATCGGACATACATGTTGGGGTCCATGGACACGTGTTGCGGGTCATGTGACACATGTTGGGATCCATGGACATGTGTGTTGGGATCATGTGACACGTGTGTTGGGATCCATGGACACGTGTGTTGGGGATCATGTGACACGTGTGTTGGGGGTCATGTGACACATGTGGGGCTGTTGTTGTGGGTGCCACAGAAGAAACCCCCCCAAGAAACAGCCTCGGCTCCGAGTGTGCTTGTGACTGCGCCGCCCCATAGCACCCATGGAACCCATAGCCCCATAGCACCCATAGAACCCATAGCACCCATAGCCCTATAGCACCTATAGCCCCATAGGACCCATAGAACCCATAGCACCCATAGCCCTATAGCACCTATAGCTCCATAGCACTCATAGAAGCCATAGCACCCATAGCCCTACAGCCCCATAGCACCCATAGCTCCCATGGAACCCATAGCTCCCATGGAACCCATGGCACCCATAGTAAACCCTGGGTTGCCCCACGATGAGGTCACAGTGACATCACACTGCCCCCTATGACATCATCACAGTGACATCATCACTGACGTCAGAGCCCCCGATGAGGCCACAGTGATGCGCGGATTGACGTCACACCGCCCCTATGATGACGTCACAGTGACGTCAAAAAACCCCTCCTCCGGCCCCTGGGTGAGGT